ACAATTTTCAATTAACTAAGTTAAAATGACTGAAGAAGTTACAACGAATGAAGAGTATGCTTATTTAGACAGAGGAGGGTTCTCGTCTGAAAAATATAAAATAGAATTACGAGGTCTTCCTAAATTTTATGGAATAGCTGTAATTATTTTTAAAATATATTACTATTTATTTATCTTTTACCGATAGAGAAAAGCACTTAAAACTATACATATTTCAGGAATTAAAAAAGTTGATGAATCAAAAGTTGGGATTAAGTGTAAGTAAGATCAAACGGCAAAAGTTTGGAAATCATTGGTTATATGCGTGTTTTCAAAACGACGAAGAGCGTGATAAAGCTATAACAGCACTAAATGGATATGAATGGAAAGGTATAAAAGAATATAATAAGAAATACATAAGTCATAAAAAATATTACACAGTAAAGTAAACAATTACTCTTTTAGGCAAGAAATTAATTGCTGAAATTGCCAAACCAGCACCAGATCCATTAGTAAAAAGAAAACAGGAATGTAAAGGGAATGATAAGAATCCTAAACGACAGAAAACTGAGGTGGATGAAACAAAAAGTCAGGAGGAACGATTAAAGGATGCTGTTATTCCTTATTGGAAATTGCCTTATGAGGAACAGGTGTGTATACTTGTAAAAGTCACTGAAAAGCTAATACCTTGTACTGCTGAAAAAAATTGTTGGTCAAATTTTAAGATATATATATGGGTTTCAGTCTTTAATGTTAATTGCCAATACAGAGTAAAAAATAAAAAATATATATAGTGTTACAACAATATATTTCAGATTGAGTTTATTATTATTAAGTAAATTTTATTTCCATTACTTACAGCTCACTTTAAAAACAAAGGAAATAAAGCAAGTTTTAATGAAATTTGACAATGAGTTGTGGAAGATAGATAAACAAAAAAGGAGTAAAATAGAAGACAATAGAAAGTTGTATGATGGATTAAGTTTTGAACTTAAACCTATTGAAAGATCTCCCTTTATAGAGGGTTATAGGTATGTGTAAAAATAACAGCACAAATACAAAATAGTAAAGACTTATTACTCTAAAACAATTGAAGCAGTTTTTTAAAGATTATATTATAAGAGACATGGTTAATTCACATGAGTATAAAAATATTTGTATTATGTATAACAGATAATGTGACAATGCAGTTGTCCTTGACAAGACATCTATTGACAGTAAGACTATTATATTTTTAGGAACAAGTGTGAATTTACAGTTGGTATTGATGAGGAAACTAAGAAGCCCACAGTTGGGTTCAGGTTAGGATGCTATTGGGCAGGATCTGTGGCTGTCGCTCCAGTGCAAGTACTTAAGCATATTCCAGAGAATATGAAGAAAGCTGTGCTTGTAAGTTGAGTTTAGAATAGAATCTTATTTTAAAACTGCATAAATAGAAAAGAATATTACCAAATACTCTAAATCCAATCAAAATCTACAACACAAAGTTTTGATTTTTCTGTGGCATTCCCCATTTACTTTTGTATTGCTACTTTTATTAAAGTAAACTGAATATTTACATAATACAAACTTAAATCCAGGGGAACAACTTATAATTTTTGTAGTGAACAATCAGGAAATTAAAAAATATATGAACTAATAATATTTATTCATATTTGTACAGGTTTTCCAGGAGTTCATTCGCAAATCAGAGTTACCTCCGTACAGTCCTGTTGACTATTCTGGATACTGGAAATGTCTGACTGTTCGGCAGTCATCACATAATGGTGACATCATGCTAATAATTGCTATGGATCCTCAGGTATATGCATTCTCAAATCTCTGTTTCATCAGTACTGACCATAAATCGTATTGAAGAGTGACGTGCGTGGCAGTGTTGCCAACTCAAATGGGAGTGTGAGCAAAAAGTGCTACAGTTCGGGTATTTTCATAATTGCGTGTGCCCTTAGCATATCTCCTCTTTTATGTTGTTACTCAAAACTCAAACAAGATCCCAATCTAGCGATTTTATTTTGCCATCCTGTAGCCAACATTCTGCTGAATTTAGCAGTAAAAGTGCTAAGTTGGCAAAAATACTTTACTGAAAGCACAGTCTGTAACAAGTGAATTTGTTACGTTTTTATCTTAGAAACTACTGGTTCAAATAAAGAAATATTTTATTGATTGTATTTCGTTTACAGATACTATCAGCTGATGAGCGAGAGAAAATGATGGAAGAAATAAATAGTTACTTCATTTCGGAAGAGTCGTGTGGAATTAAATCTGTCTATGTCCACTTTGTTGCAAAGAGGTTAGTATAGTCAATAGTGGATATATTCTTATGATGGGTATTATTTGTTTTTTGTTATTAGGGAGCGTTATTATTAGAGTGTACGTATCGAAATTTGGGGGGGGGTCCTTTTGTAATACGATGCGGGGCGGGGATTGAATTACGCGTTATTGTTAATATTATTTTCGACTTTCCAGTACTTTACACCACATAATGGTATCTTTTAGGTAAAAAGAGTCACTAGGTGGTCACGAAACGTTTCACTATACTTGGTTACAGTACTGTCCTTGGGTACAGAAAAACGTTACGGCGCATTACATGGGGGGGGTCTATAATCTCCAAAAATTGCGTGACGTAATACTTGAACGCTCCCTAAGGCAGAAGTACTACAGTCCATTGTTATTAAGTTGTTAGCCTCTTCACAATTTTGCATTTTACAAGTTTACATAACGCACATCTTTGTGAAAGGCCTATAGACCTATAATAGGAATATAGAAGTCCTGATAACAGGTAACCAGCCTTCCATTGCGTATACATAATTTTAAGCATTGCAATGTTAATAAGTATAAGCATTTGTAGTTTTGGGTGTGTGAATATTTGTGAGTGTGTGAGTATATGTAAGGGTGTGTGAATTGGTGCAAGATTTAATTTAAAGTCTACAATGGTTAGAAACAGATATTTTAAAAGATCTTATTTCTGACTATATATACTTTAAGAAAAATTTGTTTGTTATACAAAAATGGCCGAAGATTGATTGTATGTTTCTAGGAGAGCAGGGGAAGAACCGGCTAAACCCATACATGTATTGGGGGCCACGCACATAACTGACACAATACTCGGTAGACAGTTTAGAATATCGCCTGAAGCCTTCTTCCAGGTTAGTATTATGATATACATCTTTCTTTCCTTTGGCAATTACCTAAGTTGGGCAATGGGTGGTTTACAAGCATTTTCAGGGTCTTACAATATTACGACATAAGTGAGAATAATTATCAGCTAACTAATTTCTATCTGCTTAAATTTATTGCTCATAAACTTATGACAGTTGATGCCTAGTGGTGTCACCGTGCAACACTCCCTGAGGTTCGAACTCCGGCTGTGCACCAATGGACTTTCTCTCTATGTCACTTAACGCTTGCTCGTACGGTGAAGGAAAACATCGGCTTGCCTTAGGAAAGTCGATGGCATTTTTCAGTCACAGAAGGCTGGTATCTATTCCGATACAAATCTGAGGCCCAGACCTAAAAGGTGTAGGTGTAAGACCTATATAAACATATGACATTACTGTTATATGTATATCTATATATAAAATTGTTATGTTGGTTTGTGTACGCTTCAAAAACTCAAAAAGTTCTGCATCGATCGAAATTTAAGCATGATATATAATCCACATCAAGGATTGGTTGTACTTATTTTTTTGTTTTTTTTCCACAAAATCCACGATTGCAAAATTAATCTTATATGAAATGTATTCTTTGTTTTGTTTCTCATTTCTCAACCATTCAATCACAATGTGCCACAGCGAAGAGTGGCATGGTACAGCTAGTTATTTATTAAGTTACACCATTATTGTTATATTTTTCAGATACTTAAAATTGGTTCAACTCAAATTAATGTATAATTAAAACTTTTAAGATAAACACAGCTGGTGCAGAGATCCTATACCAGAAAGCGATAGATTTGAGTCGTGTAAATGACAACTCTACTCTTATTGATGTATGCTGCGGTACTGGCACCATTGGCTTGTGCTTTGCTAAGGTAATAAATAACTCTTATATTCATCAATAGTCCCATTCCAGACCCCTACGTGATAGAGGGTAGCGTACAAAGTTTGTCTTAAAAATGTTTTTTCATATTGAACGAAAGCTCTGGATTTAAGCTTGTTTACAGATAAAACTTTTAAATAGTGCATTGTATAACCGTATTTCAAATAAAGATGCCTTTACAATTACCGAACATTGCAAATATTGCAGTCATCAGTAATATAGGATAAAAAAAAAGGGTGCGTGTACTTATGTACGCGCGTAAGAAGTTATACTTCTTTGGCATTATTAAAAATAATTTGGCTTTGTTCCACTTTTTTGATTTAAAAAATACAACTCTTTTTTGTATCAATTTAGATTAATGATCATCAATTTTTTTCCTGTCCTTATATTTGCTAGATTAAATCAAAAAATTACATTTTTGATTAAACAATGTGGTTAATTTTTTAATCAAAACATTACTCGATATTAATAATACATACGATATTAACCTAATTTATTGAAACTTAGGAAGTTGATAAATTTTTTCACAAATATTAATTATATTTTTAAATATTCAATTTAAATCACTTCTGATTATAATTCAAAACATTGTAAATTTCTTTAAAAAATAATTAAAACTCCTTTATTTGTTTAAAAGGTAAATGAAAATGTCATTATTTATAAAATTCATACGAACTTCACGCATTCATTTCTTTTTTTGTGTCTTCTTCTCGTATCACCCCTTTTTTCAGGTGCGCGCGCTGTAAAATTTCACTCTCATAAATTTTTCATAACGCGCCTAAAGAAGTATAAAAAAATAGATAAAGAATGGTTTAAAGAAATCTTATTTATTAACTAAAATTCTAAATTTAGTCTGCCAATTTCATATGTATAATGTAAATATATGTTTCATTATGTATAATAATCAGATTTTTTTTTATATAACACCCCTGTTATCGGAAATTTCAAACCTCATATTAAATGATACCGCCGCTCGTAGATACTCACGTTACCAGGAGGTAAAAAGTGCGTGGGCGGCCCTTTAAGAATTAATACGCTCTCTTGGAGGAGCCTAAGTTGAATTAGTTCGGAAAAAGTTCAGTGGGCAGCTGGTTCCTCATAGTGGTGGTGCGCTGCAAAATAAAGAGAATTATCACTGAATAAATTCTAAACTCTCGTTAAACGTAAATTGATCAATAAAGCTTTTTAAAAAAACGATTATTTAAATGATCCTATTCCTTAGGATTCATTTGCTCCAGTTTAAAAAAAATTGTATGACTTGACAAAACTTGGCGATTATAAAGAGTGGCGGAGAGTTTCTTGCCAGTTCTTCTTGTCCACTCTACCTACGCCCTCGAGTTGCGAACTGGTAGTAAATGTAAATTTAGAATCAATTTAACATCTTTTCTGTTGACGTTCATAAGAGTACTTGATTACCTATAAAGTCATTTTAGTCAATTTATTATTTAAGTGTAATAATACTGATTTATATTTTAGCATTGCGGACAAGTACTGGGCCTGGAACTAATAGAGAAAGCAGTTGAAGACGCAAGAGCGAACGCGTTATTGAACAATATCGAAAATTGTGAGTTTTACGCGGGTAAAGCGGAAACAACACTACACGCAGTGTTGGCACGTGCGAGCGCTGATGACGTCATCGCTGTTGTAGACCCGCCTAGGGCTGGCTTACGTAAGTTCCTTAATGTACTAATATTTGTTTTATTTCCTATATTATTATGTAAAAATAAACAAGAAAACAAACTAAGAGTATGTCAGAATAGTATCGAAAGGAGTGTTCTAGGTCTGAAATTGAAAGATAGAGTAAAAGAAATAAAGTTTAGAAATGCTGTTGCTTCTAGTAAAAAATTGAAATGGAAATGGACAGGACACATTATGAGAGAAGATAAAGATAAATGGACGAAGAAAGTGACGGAATGGCTTCCTCGCTGTGACAAAAGAAAACGAGGAAGACAAATAAAAAGATGGGAAGATGATGTGCGAAGAGCAGCTGGCCCTATGTGGCTACGTAAAGCTAGGAACAGAGAAGAGTGGAAGCTCCTAGAGGAGGCCTAAGTCCAAGGACAAGCTGTATAAAAGAAAACAAACCGGCTTGCAGATTAATTATTAGTGTTGATTTATTATTACTTTACATTTTTAAGTAGTAGTATAAGTAATTACAGCAAAAAAGCCATCATTATTATGTAAAAATAATTTAATAAAACATTTAAAAAAAAACAAATCCTACGTTTTTTTTTCAAATAACTTTTTAAGTTAATTCAAAGGCGATAATAAATATATCACCAGCACAACAACTTTTTAGCTCTGGGCCTCAGTCAGATCTGAATCTGTTTCATGATCATTTGTTTTTTATTTATTTGGTCTAAGCTCTAAGGCATGCCGATTTCCTCACGATGTTTTCCTTCACCGTACGAGCGTGTATTGCATTTATATATATTAAAATAATTTGGTTGCCTTATCGTAGATATGTCCGCAATAACAACCCTGCGCAACAATAAGAAAGTCAAAAGGCTGATATACATATCGTGCAGCCCAGCGTCTGTTACCAAAAACTTTGTGGATCTCAGTCGAGCCTCCTCAAAGACGCTCCACGGTGCTCCATTCATCCCCATATGCGCTGTACCAGTTGATATGTTTCCGCATACGAAGCATGTGGAGTTGATTGTGCTGTTTGAGAGGGAACAGGTGAGTCAGGCAATTTCATTAAATATGGTCACAGATTTTTTGCGTGTCCTAACGATTCTACTAATCTAATAAAAAATCTATAAATTAAAAACAAATACTCGATTAACTAAATCTACTACAGGTTTGTGATTAAACTCCTTAACGCCTGAATCGATTTTGATGATTGTTTTTGAGTTAAAGTGTATTTGCGAATGGTTTAGATTTACAATAAGATGTTTTTTTTGTAGTTCTTGTGTGGACAACTGTTAACTTAACTTTGATCCCCTCATTTTTGTATTTCTTAACGTGACCAGTCTGGGTGTAAAGTTTATTTAAAAGATTTATCATTATACTTGACGCTGGCTAATGCGCAAACCGTGCCAGAGCCATAAAGAGAGAAAAAATAAAGTATTTATCAGTGTTAAAATCGGTGAGGTGACAATTATGTTGTGAAGTTATTATCATTTCAATTGTATCTTACGATTTTTACCTAAGAGCGGAATTTGCTTTGTAAAGATATGTGTATTTTTAATAGGTTTAAACACTTGTTCAATATTACGCGAACACACACACCGTGTGTGTCTGATAATATTAGGCTTTTGCAAAAAAAAGTATAATCGTGAACTTTAATCAACCACGCAAAATTTGATCAAATTATGTGCCTAGACTTAGTAAAATATTACAGTAGTTTTTAGTTCATATTTAAAATCGTGAAACTCTAAGTAACCCGAAGTAAGGACTTCAAAAATTTGTATGAGTGTGTAGTAGATTGACTATAATCATAAGGACTATATATTTTTAAACACATAACGCTTTGTGAGAGACACGTGTTTCCATAAATAGAAGAGTAAAGTCGTATTGCCAGATTAAAAATATAGTACGTTAAATAACAATAAATTATATGTATGCAACTAAAACCTTAATTATTACAGGAGCCATCAAATGAAGTAGCGGACATTGTTAAGGAAAATACTGAAGATGAAAAGACGCTTGACCCAGAAGTAAAGACAGATTTAGAAGATAATCAAGAGGATATTGATGATACATTATGTATTGAGATATAATATATAAATCATTGTTTACAAAGTGTTTTATTCAAATCTTCCAGCTTATTTAAATTTAATTAAATTAAAACTGCTATAGCGTTATTTTTAAACATCATCTTTTACATGGGACATTGGTAAATATGCTACTTATGTATGTAGACAAACACCCCATAGACAAAGAGAGATGCAGAGTAACTACTTACATTTATCTCTTGGTCTTTCCAAAGCTGTCACAAATATATCCAGGTTTGGTGCAGAATTGAGGAAACGGATAAGCAGCGAATCGGTGACTGTTGGCGGAGGACAGGTTATGAAGCCTTTTAGATAACGATTGATATGTTCGTATGGTCATTTCCGAAGCAATTCAACTTAGGGTCCTTCAAGAAAAGAGCGTATCAATTCTGAAATGGCCGGTAACGCACTCGCGCCCTCTGGCACTGAGTGTCCATGGGTGGCGGTATCACTTAACATCAGGTGAGCCTCCTGCCCGCTTACCCCTCTTCTATAAAAATAAAAAAAAAGTGTGGCATTCGGGGACTGCCGCGGTAAAGCTATTTCACAGCATTTTTTATCAACTTATAATATTTATTTATTTATGCAGTATTTTTTTTTCTTTGATATTAATTCAATCTACCACTCTGTCAGACTCAGATCAGCCTATATAGTCTGTCTCACTCTAACGCGTACCGGCTGCACCGGCCGCGCTCGTCAGAGAGATGTGAATAAGCAATATTCGTTCTGTCCCACTCTAACGCGTATTGGCCGCAACTATATTACGTCATCGTGTGTTAGGCTATTTTCGTTACGGAATTTCTTGATTCGGTTTCCGCGCTCAAAGCCCACGATAAAATCTATGCAATAGCATAAAATATAATAATAATCTTAGTGGTTATTTCAATAACAGTTAATTATTATTCTATTCCGCACAAAAAACATATCTAATTTACATTTGGCATCTTTGTAAAATTAAAAAGAATGTCAAAACGACGATGCTATACATAGTTTTAGTTCAAAGTTATTGCAACCTATTATCTATTCCTTATACGATCTTAAAACTGTCAATACAATTGATATTAAACAAATCTAAATATATAACTATAATGAGGAATAATTAAGTCCGTGATAGACCTCATCTGCGGTCGCCAGAGGCGCTAACTTCTCAGTAATTTTGCGGGAATTTAATAAAGCGCACCCCAATGAAACTCGCATTCCTACTCGCGCTATGCATTGCTATAATGCGCTGAATTTTAACACGTTCTCCCATTATCAGACTGTGTACGGGTGACAAAAACATCATTTGATAGAAGAAAGATTAATGGTCTCTTTCTGCAGAGAAATAAATAAATAACTAACCCAGATCATTTCCAGTGCAATGTTGACAATTCATATGAAAATATTTAAAGTACATAATTAAGTAATCTATCTATATCTTATTATTATCTATACCTGCAGCTGAGTTTCATCATCGGACGTCAGGGCAAAATGCAAAATATAGGCAGTGGCACGTAAGTCTAGCGCTGGCCGATACGTGGAGGGGATTGCTGCGCATATGTACTGTCGCGCGGGGGACGGAATGCGACTGGAGAGCCAACCGACGCTACGCGCGCCCGTAAGCCCCCCTCAGGTACCTTATTTTTTACTTCTGCGCAATAACGGTCAGCGCTAGAGTTTCGTGCCGCTACTTGTACCATCCGTATCACCTCGACGACCGTCGTTCTACAACTGAGCGTTTTCTAAGGCAGTTTTTGCCGCGCACCACCACTATTTGAAACCATCTGCCCACTGAAGTATTTCCGAACCAATTCGACTTAGGGTCCTTCAAGAAAAGAGCGTACCAATTCTTGAAAGGCCGGCAACGCACTTGCGAGCCTTCTGGCAGTGTGAGTGTCCATGGGCGGCGGTATCACTTAACATCAGATGAGCCTCCTGCCCGTTTGCCTCCTATTACATAAAAAAAAAATTACGAGCTCCATATTTGCTACGCGTTTTCAGTCCACAATTTAGAAAAGGAGGAGAAAACAGCAAAAATGATAATAAAATACAAAAAGTAATAAAATAGAAAATATGAACGTTCAAATTTAAACAATGTTCTACTGTTTTAAACAGCTTACGTTAGCAATATTGTATTCTTAATGATGACACAACTAACTACTTATACATTATAATATAATCTATTTTAAAAACTATTAAACTACATATTTTAAGACTTAATTTTATTAAAATAATAAAAGGTTGGTTCGTTTCCTACAGTACAATTGCTCGCTATTCATAGTATAGCTTAGTCAGTGGAATTCAGAATTTTTCTATAGCTTTACTTGCCTCCAGTCGCCGACACCTTCAGTTGTGAAGAAGACCCCAAGCCTTGAACACAATATTTAAATATAATATTATGACTTAAACAAAATGTATATTCAGTGTATACTAATATTTGTATTTTCCTTTATCTGTTGTGATTCGTTTACGATTTACAAAAAGTCGGGTAAGTATATTTTTAATACCCAAATCGAACTGATATCTATCTATCTATTTAACTGGTGGCCTTATAGCTTACAAGTGATCTTTTTTACGTTTTAAATACTATTCACGACCATTTGGGTAAATAATTTCACTGCGAAAAAATAGTTTTGTTAACTTTCAACCAATGCATATAAATTGTTATCCTTACCTAAAGAAATTACTTCTGGCCTGGCTTCTGTTCCGTTTCTCATACTCACAATTAAATATATAATCCTTCTATTAGATCATCAAATAGCCGAAAGTGAATCGGTATTGGATCCAAACGGAGATTTATCGATAAAATGGCGAGTTAATTACTCAATTAAAAAAATTCACTTTGAAGTTCGGCTTTCTGAAAAAGCCCCGTCGGTGAATTGGTTTGCATTGGGATTCTCAGATCGAGGGGATTTCGAAAATGCTGATTTATGCTTAGTATGGACGGATTATAATGATATTGATCATTTCGAGGTATGTCGGATGTACTATTAAATGTTTGTTAAGTAATAATCCAGAGGCGCAATACTTAAAAAGTTAGCACAAAAGCGTATCTAGCGATTGCGGTCACTAAGCAAAAGTCAATAAATACAAAAATTGAATTTTCTGTGATACAGTTCTCTAGATATTTTTTTTATTCATAAAAGTATATACACTACTAAGCCAGTACGATAATGTCGGAAATGAAATATATAATATTCAAAACATAGGTTGTAAAGATGTCATTTAGTACGCGCAACGTCTTCGTTAACGGGGCTCTGTTCAACAGACTGGTTCTGTCCCTTGGTATGGCAAGCCAACTTTGGTTTTCGCCTTAGCACATATCTCCTAGGCACAAAGAAACAGACTTCTGAAAGAACTCCAGGTAGCTCACCAGTATTCGCAAGACTTTAAATAGGCAGGCCAACTTTAAGTCCCGTGTTGTGTATAATTTATTGTGCCCCATCCCTAAGACATAATATTGAGTACATTAAGGGATAGTAGGAATAGATTCCATACAGTCTGTAAAGAAAACGAGTACGTACGCGTATGTATGCGCTCCATCATAAGACAGTATTTAGTTCCACACGGACCCCAAACAGACGAGTTACACTCTAACACACTTCTAACTATTGCGTTGTACAAGCTTGAGATGGTCTTAATGTTAATAATCGTTGTTGCACTTCGAATCACAAATCCAATTCTTTTGTTTTTGTATGCATTCGTGAAAATTTTCACGTAAATTCAGATGGGCGTCTACTTGTACTTCCACGTCTCTTATTCTATTAGTATAGTAGCCAAATTTTAAGAAAATCCACATTAATTGTTATTTTCTGTCTTAAGATTTAGGAGCACACAATTGGGGAAACATGCTAGCTCGCATCGCGCGCTTCATTTGTCAGGAACCAAGAAAGCATTTAATCAGTCTGAGCGTACAAATGAAAGAAGAGGTTTTGTAATAAAGTATATAGAGGTTATCTTGAATAGCGTTGCTTGCTTTGGACCCAAAAAAGTCGGCGGCGTGTGTCAGGCACAGGATCACCTTCTTGCCTATTATATTGACAAATGATCATGAAAACGATTCAGAAATCTGAGGCCTGGACCTAAAAAGGTTGTAGTCACACTGATTTATTTTATTTAAAGGTTATTTTGATAATTTCAGGATATGCACTCGGACGAAAAAGGAAAACTATTACGTGACGCTAATCAAAACTGCGACGCTTTTCACGTCAACGCTAAAGGTCGTTGTTTAACTTTTGAACGTTATTTTGACACATGCGACGATAACGATTATGTTATTGAGGTACTGTTTTTTTTAAATAATTGAAACTGTTTCCCTTGAAAATGTTTTCCCTTCCAATATAGATGAGATATCCGCATATTTCTGGAGGGGGGAATAGGTACTAGGTATTATATTGTTAAGTATTAAAAGTAAAACTGTTCGAAATGTAACATCTCTTTCCACTAATGTAATCTGGCAAAAGTGTAATTTCTTTTTCTGCCTGATAATAGCGTAACATCAAATAACAATGTTTTTTTAATAATCCTTCCTTAACTCAAACTTAAAACTTTCGTTTTCACATACTACATAAGTGTCTATTTCAAGTAAAAATATAATAGTTTTTATTCTTTGAAATTTAAATAAAGTGTATTCGTGCGATGTTCATGCTTTATCAGAGGATGAAAAATCTTAAGCTGTCTCACACCAAAGCCGCCGGACCGCTGGCACGAACCCGGCGGGTTAGTGCCGGCGGTGAACCCGGGCTTTAAGTTGCTTTATCTACAACGAGCCCCCCCCCCGCTGGCACGAAGTGCAATGCCGGCGCTTACGACTTTAACGATTGGCATATCTCATCTCTTCACCACCGTTTCCCACCGGCTTTTAAGAAATAGTGATGTGTCAGTGTTTTTATCGACTAAACATTATGGAATCCGTTTATGAAGTGGAACTAGAAATCTAAAAATTAAAAAAAAAAGAGAAGGGGGGGGGAACGCCAGGTTGTGAACACTGCATGCCGCAAAAAAAAAGGGGCGCGGGAAAAAAAAAACCCCCCCCACCCAAGCAGCCGGGGGGGGGGGGGGGGGGGGGGGGGGGGAGGGGAGAGGGGGGCGGGGCGGGCCGGGGCCGGCGGCGCCCCAAACAAAGGGGGGGGGGGGGGGGGGGGGCTGGAAGCCGCCCCGCGAAAAAAACGAGACCCCCCCCCCCCCCCCCCCCCCCCCCGCCCGGGGGGGGGGGGGGGGGGAGAGAACCCATGTTATGTCATACCCCCAAGAAGAAGAGAGGGGGGGGAGGAAGAAAGGGGGGGGGGGGGGGGGGGGGGGGGGGGGGGGGGGGGGGGGGGGGGGGGGGGGGGGGGGGGGGGGGGGTGCTTGCTACTGACTTTTAAATTTTTTATTTTTCTCTCCACTTCATTAACGGATTCCATAATGTTTAGTCGATAAAAACACTGACACGTCACTATTTCTTAAAGCCGGTGGGCAATCGGTGGTGAAGAGCGGAGAGGGGCGTGCCGCGAATTAGCGGGGGGGCGCGCGGGCGCAAGCCGCCGGCAACATCGTTAAAACCAAGGCCGCCGGCCTCGCCCGCCTGGTACGTGCCGGCGGGCCGGCGGCTTCGGTGTGTAGAGAGTTTTACGACAACATTGACATTCATATCTCTGTTTTTACCTCAAGGGTGGGGTAATAGGACGTAATTTGTCACAACCTTAAAAAACAGCCATTTTTTATTTCAGGATGGTACAGTACATATTATCTGGGCCCGTGGTACAGATAAGCTTTTTTCAGCGAAAGGCCTATGTCTGAATTGCACCTCCCCTCACGACCACGGTTTCATACGTGTTCGACTGCTAACTCCAACTGGAATATCTCAAGAAAAAGCTGAAGAACTCTCCATCACGAACAAGAACCTCAAAGTACCGAGTTCTGATACGACGTATTGGTGCAAAGTTGTTAAACTTCCAGAATTCGTTACGGAGAAAGTGCATCATATTATCAGGGTAAGGAATGGAAAGCAAATTTTGCAAGCATCGGTGTTTCTGGTCGTCGGTTAAAGTATGGGATCCTCGAATGCATCTTGTACAATTTAGTCACTTTCGTTGAATTTTCTAACAGTTTGGCGACACCAGTCCATGCGAGGTGTTTCTGGCCGTCGGTTACAGTATGGGGATACAACTCTGGTACAAAGCTTTCTGAATTACAAAAGGCAATGAAGGACTGGTGCATCACATGGAGGTTTTCTACTGTGATTCGGATCCTCAGCAGGAAATACCGCTCTATGAAGGCAACTGTTTTGCACCGGATCGACCAGAGACTACTAAAGTGTGCTCAAAGGTATTTATGATATATTTATGAGTAATTCCACTTTTTAAAGTATAATTAAATTGAGCGCAGAGCATAAGATGCGATCATTGCAATTATCTAGGTTATAACTCAAGACAAGGTCCCAAAAGTAGGGACTAAATAAAATAATCTTACAACTTTTTACGGTAGAAGAACTGAGTAGCGAGACTTGTTTTTCTTTACGAATAAGCTCCAATGTTTATGATGGCATTCTAATTTTAGAAGTTCACTTATACCTAACAAATGTAAAGTTTATTTGCATTCAAAATAAGTGGTATAAGATTACGGAGGTCCGGGATCATTATTTTCATAGTTTATCGTAATTTTAATTTTGTGATGAAATTTGTAGAATCAACGTTATATTTTTTTTCATTGTGTTTGACGAGTATTCAAAGTAAGAATAAAACCTTTCACCTGATGGTGATACACCTGTTTTTAATTTACTTATATTTGAATATCGTAAGGTCAAAGCTGCATGGGCCATGGGAGCACCACCTTTTGTATACCCGAAGGAAGCTGGTCTACCACTTGGTGGAAGAGCTGCAAACAAATACGTCATGCTAGAAGTACATTATAATAACCCGGAAGTCAAAGATGGTGAGTAGATAAACGTGGAATTTCCTATTTATTAAAAAGTTTTTTCTAATTCTTTTTGTCTTAGCATAATATATAGGTACCTCCAGAATCAACATTTCACCCGACATCCCACTTTTGATCAAATCTCAACCCCTTGACTTTTGTCCTTCTACAAATATTACTTATTTTTCGTTCCAGTCCATTACTGAAAACGAAGTGGGGAGGCCCATCATGTCTATCTCTTCTAAAGCCACAGGTAGTGACTGGATTAGTCGGGACTTCATCCTTCCTATTGTTGATATACGTATAGATATAATTCTATAAATATAATTCTATAAATATAGATATCTATTAATTCCCGCGATAACCACATTTTCATCATCTTGTGTATTTCCTAATGTCTGGAAAAATATCCAAGTTTATTCCTTTTCCTAAAATCGCAAACCCAGCATTCTATTCTGATTTTAGTCCTATCTCGGTCCTTTCCTTTCTAAGGTTCATTCAACAAATCATTCATCAATAATTAACTATCTTCCTCAACAAATACACCCCCTTCTTAATCCTGTTCAAAAGTGAAAATAAATAAATATACTTATCATGTCTGGAAATTTATGAATAAAATTATTTTCAGATTGGATAGACAGCTCCGGAATCACTCTTCATTTGACAGCTAATAGACGAGAATATGACGCAGCTATCATGGAGTTAGGCCTTGAATATACGGACAAAATGGCAATCCCGGGTGGGCAACACGCCTTCCCCCTTACCGGATATTGTATACCACAGTGTACTGGAGTGGTAAATTTTAATTCTCCTCTTATATTTGTCATATAAGCTGATGCGTTATTTTTTATTAATTATTAATAAAAGCTTGCAAACGCTCGGCACACTAATACATTGGTACAATACAATAAATTGCTTGTCACATAAAATACAAGATTTAATGTGACAAGCAATTAAAGGCAAACTTAACAAACAAGAAAAACATAAAAAAATTAATTTCACAATGTGAGGGGAGCAACTATGGACCAGACCTAGCTCCTTTATTTATTTTTGGTTTAGAACTTAATTTTGAGACTTTTGCAAAATAATTTTAAATTTTCTCAAATAAAACTTATAGTATATTTATGAATAAGAGAGAAAGAATAAAACTTCGACATTCGGTTACATTCAGGCAAGTAACGTGACTCAATTTCTGATAAATTTGGACAATACATTTTCTAATAAAATGCTTCCTATATTATGATATTATGAATAATATAATAAAGTATATACATACTTTAAATTATTTAGATTATTATTATTTATTTTAATTTTATTTTAAAGTATATATAGAAAGCACAAAAATAATCCTTTTTTAACATAAAGTATTAGAGAACGAAATGTTATAATTCATTGGTTAGAAAATTTCATTCATATTAAATTTGCTTAAAACATTTTAAGGGTCTTCCAAAACAAGGTATCGTTGTATTCGGAAGTCAACTTCACACACATTTGACCGGTGTTGCCGTCTGGACCAGACATTTCAGACAGGGAATCGAACTGCCTGTTCTCAATAGAGATGTTCATTATTCAACACATTTTCAGGAGATAAGGATCTTGCATCGGCATGTAAGGGTTTTGCCGGTAAGCTGTAAATAATAAAAAAAAAGAGTCCGATTAAACGCTAAGTCTTGTAAAAGTGCATTTAATTATTTTTCCGCTGGCTTTGCGTATCAAACCGATCACACCTCAAAAAATTTAAAAGTTATAAGTAATTACTTCAATTTATATAGAACAAGATACAATGTTAAAAATGTAAATTTCAATAAATTATACAATGGTGTTTATTTATGTTTACGTAATGTAAACAGATTACTTAGCATATTAGGTTAATTACCCACCAGGTACTTAGTACGAAAACGCCTGTATACGCCACACAGTAGTAAAACTTAAGTAATATGTTTCTCACTGTAATACCTTTTTTGACATACTCAATCATCATCATCATCAATAGCTATACAGCCCCTTGTGGGGCCTTAGCCTCATTAAGTATATTTCGCCATCGCAATCTATTTCGTGCTTGATCGCCCACCAACGCAACCTCGGTCTACCGAGTTTTCTCTTGCCACCAGGTTGTGAGTTCAGTAAGAACCTTGGACTTATGTCGTCTGCAATTCGGTCCACATGTCCCAATCACTTGACCTGTTGCATCTTATGATTTGGATGTTGGCGTCATCAAGGATATTATTAAGTTCTTCATTGTAGCGAATACGCTAAACATCGTCGTAACATAACTCAATACTGAATACTTGGATAAATATTCTTCCAGGGTGATTACTTAATGACGACCTGTTTATACAACACAATTGGCAAGGAAAACGCAACGATCGGTGGTCACGCGATAACAGACGAAATGTGCGTTAACTATATGCACTATTACCCAGCTACTGAATTAGAAGTCTGCAAAAGCGCTGTTTCGAACGCCGCTTTAGAAAAATATTTCAAATTTGAAAAAAGGTATACTTGTATTATTATAATGTCTTTGTTTTTATTAGAATATGTTCATATTTACTGTAACTGAAGTTCACTTAACCAATGAGTACTTAAATATTATGCAAATAACATTTTAAAGTTGTATGATGGCCCCGAGAGGATAGCAGGGTTTGATCAATTCTTTCAAAAATAGAATTTTATTTAGTCATTATATTTTGGCTTATCCAAATAATTTATGACTATTTATATTAAACCGTGACAAACACAATCTAAAAAACTGTAATTAATGTTATATTCAAATTTGGAAAAAGAAACGATTATTACGTACAATACATAAAGAGTTTAGTTAAAATGCGTGCTTAAATTTTTAGCCAATTCTCGAGAACCGGTAGAGATGAATTATTGTTTGGCAAAAATAGAATCCAGAACATTCGAACTCTGGCAAAAAGGTTACGAAGACAATTGAGACGATAATTAGATATCTCAAATTAATAATAATTAAATTATTTAAATGCACATACACAGTCCAAGCTTACGCGTCATATTTTATGTATTGCAATTGTTTTTTCAAGAATTTTGAATCTTACTTTATGCATTTTAGATGGAACAATATGCCTATATCGTATAAAGCATCGCCTCGTGCCAACTATTTGTCGATAAAACCATGGACTCCCTTAAGAACAAATACCTTAGACATGTTGTATAGTGAGTCACCTATCTCTATGCAGTGTAATAAATCTGACGGTAATCGTTTCCAGGTATTTATCGCATATTATGTATTACAAAATAATAGATAATCCTTATATGCCTATATTAATAGATTAAATGACGCGTGCCGAGTGCCATATATTACAGAATATTTACTAATAAATCCTTAAAGATAAGAGTTTAATGTTCTCTCTTTCAACATGATAGCAAAGACATGTTGGCTCTGCTCCGTGTTTAATTTTGGAATTTGTTATGAATGTATGTCATCTATGGCGTTAAGAAAATAAAACTATAGTCCTTTTCACGAAAGAAGTCCCCCAGACGCGGCGCTGCAATCGCATGACGTAATGTTGCCATTTATGAGTAAAAAATTTACCTATTTTATTTACATTTAGCAGATGTAATTTATCAAATAATACTATTTTCTGCGTACTTCGATGAAACAATATATCTGTTATGTAAAAAGTATATTTTTATTTACTTATATTGCGGTGTTCTACCTACTTACAGGGAAAAGATAAGAAAATAGGGTAAAGAAAAGCAATACAATAGTTTATTCAGAGATTTATTGCATAATTGTGATCAACGGCCATAGGGACATCACTGTCCGAAGAGTGTATTGAAACAGAATCAGATTCTGTTTCAGTATCACTAGCAGTTGATATAATTATTCGGTCCATCACTACATCCATAAGGCCGTCATTTTTTAAATATTCCTCCTCTAAATGTTCGACATGCGAGCACTGAGCTGTCCAATCTTCAGCCGTAATAGATTCAAAGGCCTCTTTAGTTAATTTTAATATTTCTTTTGGATCTTGTGCCACGTTCTTATCCGCCACCTTTCTTTTTACAAGGCTCCAGATATTCTCAATCGGGTTGAGGTCACAATGGTAAGGCGGCAACCTTAATACTTCGTGTCCGTGAGCTGTTAATAATTCATCCACTGCAAATATCGGTGGACCTTTATTTTGTTTGATTAGCTCATACAGCACAACTTTTGTCCAGGTGTCTTCAAAATATATACCCTTTTGCCGGAGCCACTCTTGCATACTCCTTTTTATATTTGACATAGAAGGGGCTTTGTTTAATTGAGTGCAATGGTAAGGAGCGTTATCCATTACCACAAGCGACCTTTCAGGTAGATTAGGTATTAGTTTTTCCGTCACCCATTTTAAGAAATTTGCTGAGTTCATGTCATCGTGGTAATCTGAGGACTTTGATTGGGATTTGAACATTAATAATGCACCATTTATGAATCCATCTTTTGTTCCCGCATGAGCGATTATCCAGCGACTCCCTGATGACTCTGAGACGAACATTCCTGGCTCCTCCTCACTCTGCCAACAACGTTTTGTATGATAAGTATTGTGTATATAGGTCTCATCTAAGTATACAACTGGTCGTTTTTCCACAGTGCGATTTATTCGTATTTTATTCAAATATCTTGCACGCCATGCGGTAATGTCGTGGCGTTCCATAAGTAGTTTTCGTCTGGATTGACATCGCTTGTACTTGAAACCAATTCTATTTAATATCCTGTGCAATGTTGTGATGCTTCCCTGATAATTGATGTCCTCTCGCAGAGCTGCCCGTAATTTAACCAATGTTGGTAATTCTTTATGTACGACGTAAAAACTGTAAATTTTTTGCCGGATAGCGCACAAATCGAACCCGTCTAAGTCGAACTTTTTCGGATGCGGGCGACTCTTCCCCGGGGTTACAATTTTTTTTGAAGTACACGCCGCTGTTACACCTTCGTTTGTAATTCTTGATACAGTTTTCTCTGACACACCTGCAATTAAATTATGAACAATTAAAAATAATAGTAACTTTAAGTTTATAATGCTTATGTAATATATGTTTTAATTTCAGTTACCTAGTTTCATCACGTTATGTATTTGTTCAATTTTGTCGTAAAAACGAATTTATATTATCATAAAACTCCCATCAATACAGCAAAAAATTATTAAATGGCAACTCTAAAAAGTACCTGTTATGGCGGCAACTCTCTTCCGAACATTGTTTAGTGGTATTAAAACACCTTGATTCTTATGTTCCGCTTCACAGAACTCTTTCACCTTTAATATCAATTCTCGAGCCGAACTTTTTACAACTTTTGGCATTGTAATCAATATTTAAAATGCACTAAGATAGTTAAAAATTCACAAAAATCTACCACAACAAACGAACTTGATAACATCGACGAATGACAACATTGCCGACCTGTCAAATTTAGTTCCAAAAATCACCGCGGGACTTCTTTCATGAAAAGCACTATACCACTGACATTCCTGAAAAAGGTAATTTACCGGTTTTTTCCTAATTTTTTTCTTTTTTACAGGGTGATTGGGAAGGAATAGACATACCAAAGATCAAACGCCCCTTGAAACCAGTGCTAAGACAATGCCCAAGTTATTAATACATATTTATTTCAAATATAAGGAGATATCAGTTATGACATTGTTACAAAATAAATATTTAACAGTATAAATGTATTTGTAAAACAAAATGATGTGGTTAAATTGCGTTACCAAGTAGTAAATAAAATATTAAACATATTTAAAATTACAGTTTTTCTTACCCTAAAAATGCTTATTACATATGCCTCAACAACAACAGAATGGTCTGTTACATGGCAGACTCACGGTTATAGATTGTTGTACTTTTATGGTACCTACGTGTAAACATTAGAAAGAAAAGAAAGGGAGAAAGAAAATTAACAATACCCTAATCAGTCCCAATAAACTTGTAATATTTTTTGTATTGATTTTATTACGTTAAAGGAAATCAACTAATGAATTAAGTTAAGGTTAAGTAAAATCTAACTTGAGTTTTATTTAAAGAGGAGAATGTGTTACTGCTTGGGGCGGAGGCTTTGTAGGACCTGCGATCTGTGCAAACCCCACTGCGCCACCAACAGTCGCTCTAGACCAGAGATCCCCAAACTTTTTTGTATCGTAGACCCCTTGCCATGTTCACAACCTGAAGCCAGGCAGTTATCGTACCAGGGCCGTAAAATTATCGTATATGTGATCCATATACGATAAATTATCGTACAGTCAGGAAATTGGCTAAAAATACTTTAAAAAATCATATGAAACGTGAAAATAAAATGTTGCAAACGATTTATAGTTTAAATCTTGTAAACTTGTGTTTTTCAAATTGAAAAAAATCATAATAATTCAATCTCTTTCGTCAAAGAGGAACAAAAATACGCAATATTTTCTCGTTGAACAATATGGTGTTCGCTCTAAGTGATATACCTATTGTCCGTAAACATCGCATATTATTTTTATCACTTAAAATTCGTTAGGTATTAAAATGTTATCGAAGACTTCCAAATCTGCGTCACCATACAAATCGTGAATTTTTTGGCTGTGCATTCTGATGCGTTTTTGTGTTTGTACATTAACGCTTTGTTCATCTGCTGTAGTTGCCTTGTGACAGCATAAGTTCCTAATAGAAAAATAAGCCAATAGATGGCACTGACACTAAAAACTGTAATTGTTATTGGGCTATCTGTGTAATCATCAAATTTTTTATCAGACTGGAAATTATCGTACAATCTGCGTACGATAGTCATGTACCATCGTACATCGTACGTAGTTATGAAATTATCGCAAATGTACGATAATTATCGTACGGTTGTGAACCCTGCCCCTTGCCATGTTTTCCATGTTGGGTAGACTACTTACCTGATATTGATTTCCTGTAAATTTCTAACTGTAGTGAAGTTTAGTGTTAAAAACACTTGTTTATTTATACATTTATTAATCGAATTTAAATTAAAACTACTCAAAATAAAATTTTGTATCTGTTATGTAAAATATACGTAGCATTAAATAAACATAAAATAAACTATAAATAAAATAACATAAGCAATAAGTCAATATAATGTATATGTTTTGATATTATAAGATAGTATGATGTAAGTAAATAGGTACTATCAGAGTATGTGTTGAGATCCACTATCGTGGACCCCCATTTTCATTTCATGGACCCCAAAAATTTTTCGCTGACATAGACCCCCTTGCAGGTTGTCATAGACTCCTAGGGGTCGATATAGACCACTTTGGGAATCACTGCTCTAGACCGTTCATCGTTGGATCTCCGTGGATCACTTCATGATTTGTGACGAACGATTAACGAAAATCAGATATAGCGCTAAGGGTGAGATCTATAGTGCGCACTTAGACTTTGCTCTGACTTAACTATCGAGCTAAGACACAGTCGGTATTTATAGAGCAAACTACGAATCTCTCCCTAGTGTTGGCTTAGCTTAATCTCAAGTCCACGAAATCGACGACTTACCAAAAACTTTGACTATAAGCCTAACAAAAATAATGGCCCAAAATTTGCTTTACCATCATATCTTTTACTGGACTTTTTATTTTTGTCGGTTTTTAATGAACGGTGTTGCCATTTTGTATCGGAGTTCCATAGACTTTGGGAAAAATAGAATTTGAATTCAAAGAAATTATAAATGATCTTGATAAATACCTATGAAATGCATGAAATAAAATAATTACACATTATTATGGTATTTATTGTTGTTTATTTATATTATTTATGTAATTGTTCAAACCCCATTTTTGAGAAATCTTAAAAATAACTGGTGTGATTTTGTATGTCACCTGGCAGCCCTGGCAATTGGCATATTATAGTGACAACGAAATTCAAACTATAACCTAACCAAAACATTGCGATCCGTTCTACGTAATAAAATTATTGTCATCTTTAAATAATTAATACATTTTCTAAAGGTTACTCGTGAATTTCTAGTTATTGCAATAATAAAATAAATGAATACATAAATAACAATAAATTGAAGATATATGTGTACCGTTTTAGATTTTTAAATATTTGTTATTGTTAACTTTTTTAAAGGATAATAAACAAAGTATTGCATGAAATGAAACATCAATTTGTATTTTGACATTTTCTGTCTTAGCTTGGGCTTAGCTTAATCTCACCGTTAAAATGTCTATAAATACGAAATCATAGTTTAACCTTAGTGTACACTAAGCAAAGTTTTTCGTAAGGTAAGTCTGAGCAAAGTCCAAGTGCGCACTATAGATCTCACCCTAAGTCTCGATTTTAAATGTTTCCTAAGTAAGGCTATCTAATTATTAATTACCACAGATTTCATTACGATCTTTGGCTTCGTCGGTTACAGGAAACAGACTTTATTAAAATCGTACAAACCTAGAACCACTACTGTTAAGGCATCTTGACTAAACCCCCTAGACACGTCAAATTTGATAACTTAACCGCAATGGATTTTGACGCATAACCATGACTTTGACAAACTACAATAAGTGTCCTAAAAATCTAAATATTTAATGTAACATTTCCAGTTTCCACTGAAGTTTAATATTACCATTTCCGTGGATTGTTCTCCGTCTTTGTAAGCTCAAAGCTGTAGACTTATAACAATGTCCCGAGAAGTCGGTTTTAACAATGATGACTCTCCCAATAAGGCAAATGCGAATTTGCAGCTTCCAAGTCCGATTATAACTCGCAGAAATCGAACCGCCTCTACGTAAGATTTACAGATATTATTCGTTGTTATTTTGGGCTCCTTATAGTTAATTGTATTTTTTTATGTTTTAGGTCTGAGAGGGCTTTAGGAAATCCTGTTGAAACTGGAAAAATAAAATCGTTTTGTAGAGAAAGAGGTCATGGATTTGTAACCTCCGTGAGAGGCGGCGATGATATATTTGTACATATTTCTGAGTAAGTGTATTTGGTAGATAAAAAAATATAAAACAACTTCCTTTTCTCAAAAATGTATGTTTATTTTCCAACTTTTACTTGATTTACAATATTTTAATCATTACAATATCATCAATCCCTATTACTTTTAGCATTGAAGGTGAATATGTGCCTCTACCTGGAGATGAGGTGATGTATCGACTCTGCCCAATACCACCTAAGTTTGAAAAAAACCAAGCCGTCCATGTCAGGATTGTCCATCTAACACGAGAGAAACATTTAAAGTGGGATGAAGCTTTGCCATAAACAGTCACAAGAAAACCAGCAAAGAAGTGTTTTTTTGACATTGGCAATTTGATACTTAATTTTAAACAAAATATATTATATTACAGTACAGTATACATTGTTGAATACATTTACATTACATTACATACCTTAAATTTTATACAATAATTGATTATATATCAGGATTTTGTGCATAATTTGAAACTTAAGTACTAATAGCCAATGTACAAGATTGTTTGTAATTCCAGCAGTAAGCATAATTGCATCATTTTTACATAAGCTATACTAGTATTAAGTGATGAGAACTAAGTTCTACTTTAAACAATAGTACATTAAGAGGGTCATGGTAAAGATTGCATTTTACAACAGTATTTATTGTGTAGAGTATGTGGGATATGTGGTGCTAAATTTTTGAAGGGTTTTAACATCTCAGCGATGATTGTGAAGTGAAATAAATGGCTTTACAGTTATTATAGTAAGCTTTACAATCCTTAAACATTAACCAACACAAATATTATTATAGGCCTACACCTAGCAGCTTACTTCAGTGTTATAAATTGCAAGTTTGCACAAATATTGTTGTGATATTTAGATTTTTAGTGCCAATTAATTTGTGGGGTTTGTGTAAGATAGGTAGACATCTATTTTTGATGATGTAAATTGTAAACTTTAATTCAAACAGTGCATTTAGTATGATTGTCTTGTTTCAGTTTTATTTTTATCATGTAATTTCAATGATTATTAGGCTTTGAGTTGCCATGCTTCTATATTTACAATGTTAATTAAGTTGATGTGTATGAAATAATAACTGTAAGTATAATTGTGTTTTCTTTTATGAACCCATAGCTCATTCTATTGTTATCTCAAACACAACCAAAGATTTTAGGTAATAATGACAGAAAATATATTTATTAAGTTCAATTATATTAAATGAAAATGGAAATATTCTCTTCAACTGTTATCTAAACCGTAATCTTTAAGAGTGATACCTTTTATAGCTTCTTACATCTTTTGACATGTAAATTATGAATCATTGTTTGATCAACATGAATTCTCAAGGTCTTTCAATGATCAATTCCTAAATTGTTACTTGGTAAAGTTGTTTGATCATTATCACTTTGGTGTGAAATGATAACCAATCTGAAATTTTACAAAGACTAGTAATAAGGAATTTTAATTCTATACATTTAGACATCCATTTACATACATCCCAATAAGAGTTCAGACAGGAAGAGGCTAACTTAGTCTTGCTTATTTTTTTCTTAAAATTATACAGTACAATACAATCACACAAAGACATTTTGAAAGAATTTTCTTTGTATCCATACTATTTAAATGCTAGTACCTATCCTATCCTACTTCAGGTAATAAAGTTTAACAAAAACCACATGATAGATATTAAATAGTTTTATTCATACAGTTGTTATAAAGATTAGGTATAAATACACAAATGGTCTTAGCTTCAAAATCACTCTTGGTATTGTATAAGTCAAATTAAATTTCTAATAATATGTAAACACAATTTTAGTACTATACTTAAAGCTTATTTAATCCATACCTGGTAAGTCAAAGGTTAATTAACATACTTGAATAAAGAATAGGTTACCTTGTCTTGAATATATGATTTTCTGAAACTGGGGTTTCCATGAAAATATATTTTACATAGAAATTAATAGGGTAAAGCTTTTAAAGATATACAATTGACTTCTAGGTTTTTTTGCATTGCTTTTTCATACTGCAAATATACGATTAAAAATGTATTGAATATGTTGCAATCGGTCTTGACTGCAACATGCGGTCTATGGCCCGCTTAACACTAAATTACAAGTTCCGTCATGGATAATATTAGTTCAAAAGTACATCATACAATTTCTTTTTACTTTCATTTAATTTAAATGCAAAACCAGAATGTTTTGTTAATAAAATGCTTGAATACATTTTAAGAGAGAATTTGGCAGTGTCTCGCATTTTTTTAATCTCTACTCCTTTCCGTTTTCAATGTTTCCATTCTGTAAACAATTAAACAAATACAATTATAATTTTATTACTATATACATATTGTGTCCAACGATTTTCGTAGGAAAAAGAAACATTATCAAAGAAACAGATCAATCAGCAATCTGAAAACTCGTTATATAGGGTTGTAACACAACTGGATTATCATTATGATAAGGCTAAAACAGATCAATGTACAATGACTAAGGTCATGCAAATGATAAAAAAAGAATAATCGCTTATACTCTGATTTTTAATTCCGTAGAATTCTCTCATTTTTTTACATGTCGGAGATTACAAACCTTATTTGGCCGGGCAAATTTTTGAATTTCAATACGAGTCTGAACATCTGAGTCTATAGATACATTTTATTTGAGAATGTATTCATTTTATTAAGTGTGGTACCACATTGAAAGTGGTTTTACGGCGAGTGATAATTACTTCCCTTTTCATCACAAACAGAAACCGCACCAGAAAAGATAACATTTTTTTAAAGGTTTACTAAACCTGGAATTAGTAGGCAGTACTGCCAGCTAAAGAATAAAATAAAGTTAATTCGATATATTGTTCGTGATATTGAAAAAAATATTATTTTTTTGTAGTAGGTCACTTGAATAAGTAAATATCTAGATTTACCTTCTTGTAGGTAAAACACACGTAGCATATTATTCGTTATTGTCAATTGGGTCTAATTTGTCCGTTTTTCGGTGGAGAACGAGTTTTTAATAGCAACACTTATGAAATGTCAGAATTCTACGGAATTAAAAATCAGAGTTTAGAGGAGTTGATTTTGTTTTGACCTATCATATATTTGTATTTGGCCAGAATCTTTTGAGACTTCATACCTGACATGGGGTAAATGATAGAAGAATGTTTTAAATCTATCCGGTACTTTTTAATTAATTCGCTACAAACTGTACAGTTCCTGGATCATCGGGGTGATTTAAATAATAGAGGATTTTATTTTTACTCTATATTAACCACTTGCGTACAACAATAGAATATAAGCGAAATAATAAAATGGTGATTGTAACTTACTTACATTAATGCAATGTAACAGTTGCAGAAATTGCCTACGTCTGTCTATACTCTCGGGGCGTAACTCCGACGATTTAAGAAATCGCCGAAAGAGGAAAATGTATAGCCTTGCAAAGGTGCAAACATTGGTAGATATACAAAATAATGTGCTCACCTCTTCCAAATGTGCAAGATGATAATGTCTCTTGCGTAACGCAGCTAATTTAGCTCTTTCCGCGTCTAACGCGCTCTCCAGCTCCAACGCGCGCACTTTGCTTTCCATTTCCAGTCGTCGCGTCGCTGTCAATGTTAAAGCCGATGTGTCTAGGGCCTCTGAAATAAAAATATTCCAAATACTTATGGAATAGGTTTTCATAATATATTTTTTTCCTAACTATTCAACATAAATTTTATTACCGTAGAAGACCTAATTTACATTGATAAAATTTTGATTTATATTAATTTTACAGTATATATAATCATAACATGACCATTTAGAATATAGTTAGCGTTGAAAGTAATAACATATTTCATTGCTTGATTACGTAAAGAGTCACGTGTAGGCACCAAAATTAAAAAAGATCTGGTCATATTTAACAGTCTGGTTCGACTAATGACAAAACTGACCTTTATCCCTAACGAGCGCGGACGCAGATCGCACTGCGGCAACGACCGCGCCCGTCGCCATAGCAACAGCTCTGGACGCACTCGTCAGTCGAGCGAGAGAAGGCGCCGCAGGAGGAGCTCTTGCGCGTGAGGCGGCTACCAGTTGGGCCGTGCTGCCCGCCACTTCGTGGGCCGCTGCGCTCACGCCTTCCACTTTGCCCGCTGATGCCACTGCCTCATCGGCGCTTGTCCTTGTGTACGATAGAAAATTTAAACAACAGCTTCAAATCACTTACAAATCGATAAATTTATAATTTAATTGGCGAACTATCTTTTCTGTTACGTGTTACGAATAATACTGTATTATTGAATGTTGGCGAATTTAATGGTAAAAGACACGAGGTACTACACACACAGATACCACGATTGCTGTAAAATTGAAACATCCAGGTACACATATCATTCAGTGTCATAGCCGTTAAAGAAATGATATAGTTTTATTTTGAAAAACTAGTAATTCTTTCTTAATTTTCTCTAAATTTCCATTTGGTGATATTGGAACAATGGCTGAGCCCAAGAACTTATTTAATTACTTTTAATTATAATTATTTAATATACTTTCATAAGTGTTTTCATACTTTTGTCGTTTGAAAATCCCTGAGAGTATAATTATCTAATACAAAAAACAATAAATTAACCAAAACACTACACAAAAGTTCGTAATGGCATATTCCCTATAATTTTTCATCATCTTCTCCTACGTGTCTCTAGAGAATTATTAGGCTATATCTCGAAGAGAACTTTGCAAGTTAAGCGAAAAATATATCATTCTTAATAAATTTACTTACACAAGCAATTTAGCAGCAAATACGACAGATTTAGCAGCAGATATAAGCCCCTCAGACCATTGAGGGTTGCGTCTGTACATCTTTTGTCTTGTCTTTGGATCTCCTAACTCGTTTTGCAGCGCCCGAGAATCCTGAACTAGGACTTTGACAGCGCCCATAAGAGTGGTACATGCGTCCAGGATTTTGCCATTCACTTCTAACTGTACGCCGGAATCGCCTGCTTTACTTGCCGCAAGTAAATTCTGAAATTAATGTATACGTTAAAAGAAAATAAAATCGAATTTTTTTCGAAAAAATAAACCCGACGTTAACTATGAGTTCGGAATTGGTCAATAGTAGCAATTTTTTGAGTTTTTTGAACCCCTGGTGTAACGTGCCGTAGCGCTTTCGCTCCCCCTGCCCCTAGTAATAATATCACGTGACCACCAAGTGACCATTTTTACCTAAGTCACAATTATCTAAAGTACCGGAAAGTCGCTAAAATATAGGTATTTTAATAGGTTAATTATTATTTACAAGGATGCTACGTCATAGTCGATTGACTATTTTGTGACCATTTTGTCACGTGGCTGACGTATAAAAATCAGCATTTATAATAAAATTATTATTCATTAATTAATATCATTTTACACAGATTAATATTATCTTTCATCAGATTAATCACAATAACACTTTATTTTTCTTTAGCGTTTCTGAACAGCTCCCTGAGTAATTTTATAAATTAGTGTTTGAATACGTTTCTTTTTATTAGATCGTTAATTAGCGATAAGGCAATTATACAAAAGCTTTCTTTATATTAAAAATTGTATCACTTGTTCTTAAGTACATTAAAATACACATTACTTGTCAACGCCATCTTGCATCACATATAATTAAGACCTATAAAGCTTAGGTTGTTTCCTAGAAAAGCGGTGCCGTTATCTAACGGCCGTCACTTTACGGTTGTTAATAAAGGCCGTCTTTACTTTTTAACGTAATTACATTTAACATAAAAACAATCATTTTCGCTCGTCCAAGTCTTGTGTCCACTCATTGTATTAATTATATATGGGCACCGCTACACGCTAAAACGTTGAACTTATGTTTATCACCGCTATGACGGCCGTCATGCTAATGCCAGCACCGCTATTTGACGTTACGGTGACACTCAACGTTCTCTAGGAAACCTACTCCGATGTTATTTATAGACAACGTATGAGTGACGTCACCCAACGCTACATTACGGCGGTTAGATAACGGCACCGCTTTTCTAGGAAACCTAACCTTAACAATCCAGCTTTTGTTTGTAGTTTAGGTAGGACCAAAGATGACTAAAACACACCTCTATCTGAGAAGCCGCCTGTTCTATAGCGCGGTCCATATCAGCCAATTCGTCGTCCACACTACGAGTGCCACTCGATAATCTATCTGCCGTGGCCGCACTACGAGACAACGTTTGTACGCTAGTGCGTGCTTCGAGGCATGCAGTGCGGTCTATAGCACCCGCTTTTAGGGATTCCAGACACTGTTTTGTGGCCGATAGCATGCTTCGACAGTCGCTGTTCAATTCTGTAAATTATTAAAAAAAACATATTTTAATATGTAATTAGGACATTTCTTCATCAGTAAAAAAAGGCTTGGTTCAAAAACAATATTTTTAGTTCCACGAAAGTCAAATACAAGACGGTTTTGATCATATTAAATTGACGTGCGTCACTAAGGCATCTTCTATCTATTGGGAAAACCATAGAAAATTCGATTCATAAATCACTTAATAAGTGGGAAAATTATTTTTATTTTGAATAGAAATTTAGTTATGTTACACTTAATTAAATATTCGTCATTTAAATATAATAAAAGTTATCAGTCTAACCAAAAACCGAGTAAAGAAAGCCCCTCTTTATCTCCCAATACGACTTGTCACCGCGGGGGATAATGACTCAACCCTCCATCTTCACTACAAAACCTCTACATATGAACTTTTATACATATACATTAAATATTATGTAATAATTAATCATATGATATACTTGTTTAATATATTATTCATTATGGAAATAAAGAGGCTATAATAATAAAAAAATAATAATAAAAGTTATCAGTCTAATAAAATGACTCACTCTCTGCTAATTCCATATCAGTGGAGATATTGGAAAGTTCCGCCGCGTACGCAGACAGTTGCGAAGCGTTGTGTGCGGCGTATATCGCGGACTTCGCTACTAACTCCTCGTTTCCTTCCACCTGTAAAAATGTAATTAAACAATAACACAAAACAGGTAAAAATATAAGTCAAAGGATATACAGTCTTACTGCCACAAGCAGTTTCTTTCTGACAAAAACCAGGGATGTTACAACCTTTTAAGTACAGGGTCTCAGATTATGTATCTGTTGAGTGATAATCTGTTTTTTCTAATTGACAGTTTGATAGTCTGTGCCTGCACGCGGTCGATATTTTGGCTCTAAGGTTTCCTCACGATGTTTTCCTAAGCCGTACGAGCGAGTGTTTAAACAGACATAGACAGAAAGTCCATAGACGAAAGTGTTTAATCAAAAAATTGCAATTATAGTGAATCAATTTTATATACATTTTATCAATTTCATGTACTAATCACGGCATTTTTAATTTGTTCCCCTTACTTGTGACTTCCTGGCAAGATCCTCGAACGCCTTAGAAGCAAGCTCGGCGGCAAATTTATTCGCATCTTGCGTGTTCGAGTGTTCTAAGGTAGAAATAGCACTATTCGTAACTTCCAACGCCGCCTCACCGGCACAACTAATAATTTTAGCGTTTTCTGAAATATAAAAGCCATTTTCCGTCACCTGTTGTAAATGCACAGTCCGTACTTTATCTATGGTTAGCTATAGTCAATTGTCAAATAGCTTTTTACCGATTTTGTCGTCTATACCACCAACAATACACATCCATAGGGCATAACGTCTTATGAGTTTTGGATTAACACGTGTAGTAGTAGTAGGTAAGATTATAGGAGAATTGAATTACTTTCAATTGAGAATTTCGGTTTGTAGGCATAGGAGACTGATAACTTACTTACATTAAGGCGTTAAAGTGGTGTTTTCATGTGACGCGCGTTTGTTCGCGTCGTTAACTCGCGCGATCAAATTTGAAGAGCGTTCAGATGATGGGAGCGGGCTATCGCGCGTTGCGGGGAGAGGTACTCGTCAGTCTAGTTCGGTAGAACGTAGAAAATGGACGTGGAAGAGGTCATTATTTTGTGGTTATATTATAAAGAAAAAATATAGAAAAAAGAAAACGTAGCACATTGGGGGTTTTTCAATTTTGAAAAAAAAATACAATTTATATTATATTTTTATACAAATTTGCTATATTCAACTTGCTGACCTTTTTTCTACTTCATCGATTAGTAAGTCGATGTCAATATCTTCAATTTCACTCATTTTAAAAGCGAGAACAAAATATAATTACGAAAATTAATAAAATTACATGCGATCGCGATGAAAGCGCGCGCTCATCTAAACAGCAAACGGACATTACATTAATATCAAAGCGCGCGTCAACGCGCGATCACCTGCGTCTAGAGACTTTTTCTCTGAGCGCCGCGTTGACGCGCGTACATGTGAACAGTTGTATGAAAAATACCATAATCTCTAGTCGCGCGATTTGAAAACGCGCGTCAAGTTTTTGCCATCTGAACATAGCCTAAAGAACAAACTCAAATATGCCTACCTCATGCCCCGGGGACATAGTTTTGTCTTTAATACATCCCACCCCTAGTTACGAGTGTACAATTAAAATATAAAAAATCGCTACTAATCAGCATGCAAACAGTAGAAAAAACATGGATTCACAATAATTATCATATAACTTGTTTACAATCTGTTCCAAAATATTTTACGCTATGATACGTATAAAAAGACCCAGATATATGTAAACACGATAAATACACATTTAAAACCCCTTTTCAAAGATTATAATTCGTATAAATTATTTAATTTTAATACGTTTATAATTTCAACCAGGTATAGTTAAGAAGATACGTTTTTGTAATTAAATATATATAAGATACGCTTTCAATCCGATATTCTTAATACTTACGTTTCTTAATCTCTCGTTGTGCTTCCTCCAATTGGATTTTTAACGAAGCCAAGTCGGCTTCAAGCACTGTATTGTGTTGTAACAAATCCTGCAATTCACACTCTGCGTTCAGTCTGCCTTCTTCAGTATGCATAAGCCTAGCTTCCACTAACTATACAAGGAATATACTTAACGCAAGGCCGAAGTCCAAAGCCAGAAGGTTCCATGCATTCGTAGAGGCGAAGGCGATATAGGAAAAATAAATCATGCCATTAGATATTGTAACATGCAACAGAAGATTTATTACATCAGCATACAGATCAAAATAGCAACAGGATCGAACAAACAGAAACATCGACAAAGACAATTTCATAGACAAGGTCTTGAATGGTTTATAATATAAAAGTTTTGGCTAAATTATAAATAAAGCTCATTTTCAAAGACTTGTAAGATCAAATGACGTTCTTCATTTTGATATATCGAAAGAATAATTTATTTTAGCACTAGAAAAGTTAATAACAAATAAATTGTCTGACTTATCTTTAGACACAGTTTAAACTACGTTTTAAGACACCTAAGTAAGCATTGCGCTTTGGTCCCTCAACAAGAAACAATCTAGACAAGTAATAACGAACAACGTAAGCAAATCCCAAGACATGACAAAGACATTCCCTAGACCCGCAACGAACCTGTCTCTCAGAGTTCAAATCATTCAACAGCTTTTCGTTTTCGGTAACAAGCTTAAATTTTTCCTCAACTAATGAACTTAATTCTTCATCTTTTTTTGCTGTCACTACATTAATTTGGTCCCTAAGTTGTTTAATCTCTTCTAATTTGGATGTTTCTAATTCATTAACTTTACATCTAAGATGTAAAATTTCAGCTTGCTCCTCTGTTAATGAATTCCGCAGCATTATCTTACTCGATGCTTCTTCTTTAAGATCTTCCTCTAATTTCTTTACTTGCTCTTTTAAATTATTAATAGTTTCGGAATTATATTTTCGAACGACGTCTAAATCGTTAGTAAGAGTTGCTATTTGTTTATCTTTTTCTTCCAAGTTTATATCGTATTTTATTTTAAAATTTTCCAATTCTGTGTTTGTTAAGGTAAGTTTTTCAAGTGCATTCTTTAGTTCAATGTCTTTTTCAATAAAATTTTCCAATTCTTTATTTTTAGTTTGTAATAACATGGTAAGATCATGCAATTCGTTCTGAAGTATACATTCTGAATCGGATAGTTTTAGTTTTAGGTTCTCGAGTTCCTTTTGCAATGCGTTAGTGTGCTGAGCTTGAGCCTGACAATATTTATATTAGATACTATAGCGCATGCAATATATACTAAAAGCTAGATGCAATCTAAAATAACTTTACAGACTAAATCAAATACAGAAACACTAAAATAAGTATTAGAATATCCCAATAAATTACTTGCGAAAATGTCGCGCAAAAATCTGTAAACAGATTTTGATAATATCTTTGGAAAATCACATAGAATTATTAGACTAAATCGTGTATAGCTATTCTAAGTACTGACCTCTTTATCCTGCTGATATTTTATAGTCAGTTCCGTAATCTGTTTCAAGGCATCTTCCTTTTCCTCAAGCACCTTCTTATAATCTTCTCCACTCTTTAGTCTTATACTCTGTAGTTCTTCCTTTACTGCGGCCAGCTCCGCTTCACTCTCAGTTTTTTCTTTTCTCAGCTTTTCTAAGTTTTCTGAAGCATCTTTAAGTTCACTTGCAATAAGTGATATTTTTTCTTCTTGCTCGGTTGTTGCCGTTTTGTGTTCTATTTGCAACGCTTCCATTGACGCTCGCAGAGTTTCCAGCTCAACTTCTTTTTGTCTAGATTGCTCTAAATCACTACGGATATTTGCTATTTCCGATTTATATGCCTCTATCTCTTCGCTCGAAGAAGCACTCTGTTGGAGGAGTTCTACGTCTCTGAAAAAATATTTAAAGTATTTCCTTTGCAGGATTTTCAATCTAACATTATTATTTTTACGTTTAGTTATTATTGCCCGAATGTTCCTGCGGGATTCTCTGTCGTATAATATAATAATGTGTCCATCGCATAATAAAACCATCTGCACATAAACACCTGAATTTCATATATCACGGTCTGGTCGCAAGTGAATACTTATTTTAAAAGGACGTCATTAACACTTATATACCTTTTTTATACTTAAATATACGTAAAAACTTACTTCATATGGTCATTTAACTGTTGTTGTAGCATTGTCTTAGCACTTTCATGCTGCGCCGCCGCCGCCCGTAAGCTGGCTGTAAGTTTGTCCACCTCTGCTTTCTAGAGCGAGTAATTAATTTTACTGATTAAGAAAAAATAAACTATGAGAAACACGAAACATTGACTGGTCAACGACATCGGTATACAATAATCTCCAAAAATTGTGTGACGTAATACTTGAACGCTCCCTTATTTAGATAATCGAAACGCCAATAAAAATGTTTACAGACTAAACAATAGGACAGACTGAGAATGCGTGTAGGGTGTGGGTGTGTACTTGTGTGGGTGTAACTGAAGCCTGTGTGTTATAATATATAATATGGATTTAGTGAGATTAAATGTCTAATAGTGTACTAAGGCTATCTTCTTTGAAAGAGTTTCGAGGGGAACTGAAAAATTCCTTCGGCGAGTATTTCACTTATGAAAAGTTTTCGGACTGTCATCTTGTAGTTAATATTTATTTATATACAAACCTGTCTTATAAGCGCAATATGTTCCTCCCGAAGTTGTGTGTAAGCACCTTTTAACTTTTGAAATTTCTCGTCTGATACCTTGGCCTTCTCCTCGGTTTCAGTCAACTTTTCTGAAATTTATTTATCTCCTTATTTCCTATTTTTACAGAAACTTAAGGCGCGAAACACACAGGAAAGGCGTAAGGCGAAGGCGCGGCGCAGGCATCTTGCCGCGTCAAAACGCGTCAATACAAAATGTATGTAAGCGGCACGTTGTTAATTATACTCAAGCGGCGTGGCACAGGTACGTCACCAATATCTTCGGTGTCTCTGCACATTAATGAGTTCATCTCAAGAGGAAGACATGCTTATAAAATCACGATAAAGTCAGCCTGCATAATGACTCTTTGTCTCTTTGATATAATTTAAGTCCGTGCCTTTCTGCCCGCCCCGCGCCCGCCGCGCCCGCCCTCACCTTATTCCTCTTCTGATATAACCTTTTGTAAGTTTCGCGCCTAACACTAATACAATAGAAAACTTATTAATATAAAAACATAATACAAATAAAACAAGACATCATAAATCCTAAACCTTTTAATAACTAATAATAAATAATGCAATTCTTGTGAATTCAGCCAGTGTGCAACTAAATATATCCGTCTCACGTGCAATAAAATTAATATTTACGCCGAGTGTAATTATTTGACACACGAAATGAGATTTAATAGTTAATACATTTTCAAATGAGAAATATTAAAATATATTAATAAAATACAATTACTTTTAATTTGTGGCGTTTCAACTGCTAATATGTCGGCTTTTTGTTTTTCTTCATCGAGTTCGTGCTGTTAACACAAAAATAATTATTAGTACAACTTCGATTTAAAAAGTATAGGACTTTAGGATAAAATATAGAGCGATTATATAATCGTAAATTATCAAAATAATAATAATAAAAATACCCTAGCAGCTCGCAACTGCGTCTCCATCCGCGCGCAATGTTCCCGCATCGAACCCAACATGGTGTTGCGCTCTTGAACTATTTGCGATACTTCTGTCCTGTTCAATATTAACATTTTTAATAAACTTTTAACTTATTATCGTTAAGTTTTATACGAATCAACGAAACGAAACGAAATCAACGGAAATTTGGGAGTTTTAAAGGAATTTAATCTGTGAAATAAGAGCTGAAACTTTTAAACTTTACCAAAAAAGTACGTTATTAAATTTTTCACAAAATAACCAAGCCGTTAGTGATTATTTGAAGCAAACAGAATATTATTAAATAAGACTAAAATATCTAAAGCTAAATTGTAAAAAGTGCTATGTCTTGGCCTGAAGATATCTAAATCTAAAGTACTTTGTAATTTTGTTTAATGCTCCCTTTAAATATTGGTTGCATTTCGGTGATCTATATGACAAATAACTTGTTTTTAGTTAAAAAAAACTAACCTATTATAAAACTAAAGATTATAAAGTAAACTAAAGTTCATAGGCCTAGTGGCTTTAGCGTGCGACTCCCAACCCTGAGATCGTAGATTCGGTCCCCTGCTGTGCACCAATGGACTTTCTGTCTATGCGCACATTTAACATTCCCTCTAACGGTGAAGGAAAACACCGTGAGGAAAACTTGCCTTAGACCCAAAAATTCGACGGCGTGTGTCAGGCACAGAAGGCTGATCACCTACTTGCCTATTAGATTGACAAACCATCATGAAACCGATAAATATAAAAAGGGTTGTAGCGTAAGATTTATTTTATTTTTTAAGGTGAATATTTACATGGAAAGAACATACAGTGGTAATACGGTATCTATAGTCCACGTTCATAAAATATGTATAGTTTGATTTAAAGCTTACCGCATCCTTTTGAGTTCATTCTGCAAATGATCTATGAGTCGATCTCTTTCTATGAGAGGGTCAGGCACTGGAGACGGCGTGGTTCTCGAATGGATCTCCAAGGATTCATGGCGTTCAGGCGTCGGCACCTAGAAACATTTTACATGTTTTAAAATAATATCTTCATTTAAAAAATTTAGATTTAAAAAATGAAGATATTATTTTATGGAAGATGGGCCGGGTGCTAGTTGGAACCAACAACAGAGCTGGTGCGGCTTGTGAAGCGGCTGAAAAAGCTAAGGCTTGCAAACACAGGCGTCTAGGCTCCGAATATGATTTTGTCCCATTCGGTGACGAGACCCTTGGCCCGTGGGGTCCTAGCGCTATAAGGCTTGTTCAGGAAATAGAAAAAAGGTTAGTCGACATCACAGGAGACCGAAGAGCTGGCAGCTACCTCGGACATAGAATTAGTCTAGCTATTCAAAGGGGGAACGCTGACAGTATCTTCGGAACCTTGCCTAAAAAGATTCCTTTTAATAATATGTTTTACTTATTATGTTTTTAGTGATATTTTAATAATTATGATATTTTTATAGTAAGTATTAAATGATCATTTATTAAAAATATACCTGACTAAATGTCTCGGTGGTGTCAATCAACGAGCCAACAGCGTCGACTTCATCTGGTGGGGGTTCCGGTATCGACACCACGGGGGCCACGTACGTGCCGAAGTCACTCTGAAAAAGATTATCAAACGTTTCCAAAGGTTTTGTTTAAACGCAGATTGCTCGATTTTCTTTGACATTGCAATAAGTCCAAATCGTACCATGATTATCGTACGCAACGACGATATATTTCTAATGAATGGGTATATAAAACTGATCACGGGTTTAGTCGAGATGCCTTAACAGTAGTGTATGTAGAAAGTCGAAACTTTTCATACAAATTAACATGGACCTGATAATTTTAATCCATAATGACCAATATACGATAATTTTACCACCCTGGTACGATAGCTGCCTGCACTGCTCTCTCTTCTCTTCATTTTTATATATCGTCGCTGTAGAATAACCTCGTATGTCCAGAGAACCAAACATTACAGGAAACGAAAAAAATGTTTCATTTCGTCAATGTTTGATAAAATATTATTATTATTTTTGACCACAGTTTTAGAAGGTAAAAAGGACTTATTTATTAATAACAAAAATAAGTCCTTACTTCACGATTATACCAGTTAAATGACATAAGTCTAAAAATAAAACAATAAATAGTTTCGTGACATACGAGGTTATCATTCTACAGTGACGATATATATATTAAGAAAACTACATACACTTGCGGTGTCTAGTCGGATTTGATTTTATTTTTATGTTATAGGAGGCAAAAGGGCAATAGGCTCATCTGATGTTAAGTACTAATTCAGTGGGCAGCTGGTTCCACATAGTGGTGGTGCGCGGTAAAAACTGTCTTAAGAAACTCTCAGTTGTGGAACGACGGACGTTGAGGTGATACCGATGGTATTTTATATTCTAGACACTTAGCTGCAGGTATTTTTGGGGTAAATTTTTGTTTTTATTACAAATTAATTAATATAATATGTACCTGTAATAGGAAATTAGGTGGGTTAGAAGGCAGGACTGGTAGTGTGAGTAGATTCCTATAGTACTGAAGACTGCTCGCGTGTTTGTAGAAGGAGCTTAATTTTTTGAACTGTTGCCGGAATCTAAAACATATAAAACAATTTGGAGCTAGACAATGGAAAATAAGTTAGTCTGTCCTATTCTCTTTTTCGCCTTTTCGTGTTCACAAAAAATATGATTTCCAAGAAAGAGCTAATTACGAAACATTATACAAAGAAGTACAGTTTTTAAAGTGAAAACGAAAAAGCAACAGTATAATGAGACAGACATATAAATTCATAAGATTTAACGTGGGAGAAAATGAGTTAGTAAGCATTATACATTATTAATTATAAAAACTTTTTTAATCATTGTAGTTTTTATTGAATATATATAATATAATTATGATATTACACTTAAAATATAAAATAAGATTCGAAGCCTTTTAGGCTTGCAAACAAAATTTTTAAGGTAATTAGGTCACACCAATCGTCTTAACAATGAATAATGAACTGACCCACATTTACGCACATACCTTCAGGGACCTCAAAGCTGAATTTTTTTTTTTAAATAAGTTTCCAGTAATCCAGAAAAATGCATTTTTACCGACAAAAAGGAGGTTATCAGTTCGATGTATGAATATGATTGAAATTAATTAACAATTGAGTATGACGATTTTTAGACTTCCAAGCGCGTGCGCCCGTAAATATTCCCACAGTTTTTCTAGGAATCTAATTAATATTTAGATAATACATAATTAATTTACAGGTATTTGACGGTTTCATTTAATGAGACAGAAGGCAAACAAGCTGGCGGATCACTTAGAATTAAGTTATAGACACTTGCTACACCAGATGGCGTGTGCGTTGCAGGCCTTTAAAGTGCACTCATGCTTTCGTAATTTTTATTAATACTCTAATCACCTCTCCCTATGTCCAGATAGTGTATCAGCGGGTAACGAAGCGTGTAGTCTGAACAGTAGCCGCACATTACAATCGTATATTTGTGACGAATCCTGCGCACACGGGATGAGCGCTGCCAAACGACACTGCCCGCTCGCTGTCATCGAATTAGCGCGCGCGTTTCCCAAACTATCGAATACTGAAATATATTTTTTACATTTATATACAAAAACCACTGGCCATACAACCTCTAGATATGGACCTCAGATTAATGTATTTTTGTGGTAGTTTCTAGTAGGCAAGTAGGTGATCAGTCTTCTGTGCCTGACACCGTACGAGCGTTAAAATAGAAGAAAACTAACGAAATTCGAACAGATGACCTCAGGGTTAAGAGGCCCACGATTAAGGCACTATTATGTCCAACACACATATTAAATTTATAATTTATATACATCAGCTCATTTGATGTTAAGTAATACTGCCGCCTATAGAGGAGATTGCCAGAGGGCTCACGAGTGCGTTGCCGGATTTTGTCGCAATACGAATTTCGAAGAACAAGTTTGTTCAATAGAACTGGCTACATTCATTATATACTCTTTAATACTTTGAATTTAGTTGTTGCGTAAAAAATATTTTTGATGTGACAAAGTATTTGAATTATAAATATCAATAAAAGTAAGGACGTCAGAATATATCTCACCTGCTGCTTGTAAATTAAGTATGTCATCCATGTAGTCGAACAATTCGACGCAAAGCTGAAAACTAAAAAATATATATTTAGGAGTCATACAATATTATACTGATATTTTCCGAAATATTTTATAGGCTGATTAAACATTCTTAACACAAAGGCACTCACGTCCCGCAATTTAAGAGTGAAGTAACAATGAACAAAGCTTGAATATGGGAATCCAATACAAAACCGAAGAAAACAAAAGAAAAAGAGCGCGCATTTCATATGTCAAAGTCACCGACAGATCGCGCGTCCGTGATTCAACTAGAGATTTATTTATAACATACATTCTTCAAACAAAACAAATTTTATTCACAGACATAAATAATAATGAAAATAAAAATACAGTGTAAACTCCATGTAACGTCCCTCAATAACGACTAAATAATAAAAAGTGCTTTTTAAGTTGCAGAAATTAGTTAAAACTGCGGATCTGTGGACGTTATTTTGTCGCTCTATTGTCATAGCTCGTAATAAACTCGACTATAGGCATCATATGAACTTTCTAAGATATCCGTTCTTTTGTTTATAAATTGGGATTGCTTGAACGTGCTTTATCACGATATAAATAAAAAAAGTAAAAATACAACCTAACGACTGGTACAGTACAAAAATAAATGACACCGCAATAGCGTTCAAATACGAATTGTTTTTATGTTATTATTAACAGTAGTCTGAAATAAACTTTTCTTTTTCTAATACAGATTTTTCTTCTTTCTATTTAACGACACCTCTTTGTAACGTCAAAATAAGCGCAGTCCCTTGAGTGTCGTTATATAGAGTTTACACTGTATATTGAAACGACGCATTTCATCTTTCACCAAAATACACGACCATTTGTATTACTTACTAATTATTAACATCATTTTCGGCAATCGCATCCAACTCTTCAGCAGTGAGCTGCATGTTACCGGGGAAACGAGGGTTGCGTGCGTGGAACTTCAGTTTACTCATCAGCAGGATGCAGTATAGATGTATCAGCTTCCCATAACCCTCGCGAAGGTGCATCTGAAATAACATTAAGTCTTTGTCTGAGGAAATAAAAGTATACGCTCAGAAGTACAAGACTAGGCTGGGAAATCATCCTAACCATCTAGCTGTTCAACTCACCCTACCGGAGTAAATAAACTGAATCAAAAGACGAAGAACCCTGGAGCTCAGCAGCATTGACTGAGCTAATATTATTATGGTAGATATTCCTAATGAGGAATATCTGCACCTGCAAATCATCCTACAACTCATCTGCTCATAGTCAGAAGACTGATTGCACGATGCGCTCTATTCAAAAGAAAAAGTCTTTGTCTGGTTGTACTGAAGTAAATTAAATCCGCAATACATAAAGAAAAATGAGGGCAATCAAATAATAAACGCAATTTATTATTTGTTTGCCGTTGGAGGAAGGATGGTGTACTGTTCCTCCATCCTAAACCTAGAATTCTATATATCCTTAGTTAGGCGAAAGGTCTAGAATATCTTCGTTAGGACATTTCAGCGTATAACGTCATCGCAGTGATTTGTGAGCACAGATTGTAGAGCTACACCGTGACTAAAAAGTCTTCTATATTTCTCTATTAATTAGTTTAAGTATTTAATAAATTTCGCAGTTTATTTTCTATTTAAATCCATCCCAGGTATAAGTGACAAACCATATCGAGAATGTACGTTCGTGCTCCTATTTCACAATGCCTCCTGCTGATAGAGGACAAATCTTTGTTTTTAATTTATTTTATAATTAATTATTACTTAATATGTCATGTGGTGTAATGGTTGCAGCTCCTTACAAACGTTGTGTAAGATAAAAAACTTGGCGATTAAAAAGAGTGACGGAGAGTTTATTGCCAGTTCTTCTCTTCCGTTCTACGCCCTTGATTTGAGAACTGGCAGTAAATGTAAAATTAGAAGCATTTAATGTATATTTCTTTTTCATAAGTGTACATTGTGTTACCAAAATTAATAAATGATTTTGACTTGACTTATCGTTTAAATTTAATTTTTCAAATCTTTATAATAACTTCTCACGGAATTCTTACCCATAGCTTCCCCAAGTTCTCAATCATATTAATATGCCGTTGCGAGTCATCTAGACAGGCTGGATGACCTTCGCGTAGCAGCTTATGTGTCACATGACAGAACTTCCACGACACGATACGGTTGTCTTGAAGCGGCTGACGGATCGCCACCATCTGTGGATGGTTAGGAAAGAAAGATATTGTAATTTATATATTAAAAATGATTATATTATTACAATTATGCTGAGTGGCACCAAAGTATTAGAGTATTTTAAGGTCATTCGTTGGTATTAGTACCAAGAAGAAAGAAGTACAAATTTTTAGTTATGGGGATCAGATGGGTTGCAATTTTTAAGGTAGGTTTTTGTATTAGTTCGGACAGAAGTAATGTTTCCCATCTTATATTATTATGCTTTCACTATCATTTAAATTTAAATTAATTTTAATGGACCAGCTTATAATTCTAATACCAAAATGTTGGCTCGTTTCGTAAGAAATTAAGAATAACTTCAATACATTTACCCAGTATGTGATGGCGCTCTGCTCTTGAAAGGTACCAATGATCGCGCTCCGTACATGTTTCTCTTTCACCGGCGTCTCTATAGAATTTATCGCTTTCTGTATAGCCAATGTCTGAAAAAAATAGCAGTATATTAGAAAATCAAATACATTAAATTGGACAAGATCACAAAATGTATGTACTTTATAGTAAATGATATTTTTGGGGATTCCTCTTGTAAAACGTTACGACGCGGAACGGGGATTGAACTACTCGTCATTGCTAATATTATTTTGAACTTTCCAGTACTTTAAAGAGTCACTGGGTGGCCACGAAACGTTTTACTATTGGGTACAGAAAAACGTTACGGCGCGTTACATGACGGTTCAGAATCTGCAAAAATTGCGTGACGTAATTCTTGAACGCAACGTAAACTAAAACATAAACCTTCAAGTGATGTTATAAAGAATGCATGACTATAGACAATTCAAACTTCTTACTATATTGACATAGTAAAACTGTAATATCATTAAAAATTCCAACAAAACGCAAACACCTTGTCATGACAAAAACAATATGCCCGCATATCCTCGCACGCATTATAATAGCCTATTAAGAACTTTGTGTTGATATTGGGGATCAAAATAATAATTATTATTTATACATATGAATTCTATATTAAACAACGGTATAACAAACTATTTATTGTTAAGTTTAAGGATAATATGTTTAGCATTTCATATAAGGCGAGCCCTGTAATTTTAAGCAGTATACAGAGAGCACATTATTTTTTCTATTAACTTAAGGAAACCAGATTATTTAAATAACCATTCTAGTCTTGGCTTCCAAATGATTTACTTATCTATCATTATAGATAGGTACACTGTAGAGATATATTTTTTATTTATTATTTCATTTATATATAAATAAATTTCTGTTCGTTTGTCTCGCTAAAACTCGAGAATGGCTGGACAGATATCACTAATTTTGACCTTGTAATATTTGTGGAAATACTTGTGGAACTTCAGGGAAACATGCATAATATATAAAAATATATTTTTTTAAAATAAGCATAAATAATTTAATTTTCCAATACAATTCGTTTCAAGCTTAAAAACAGTTGATGTCTTTTATTTTTTTAGAGATAAAAAAAATTAACAAAAATTGTCAAATATTTTTAGGTTGGTTCAGAAATTTGTCTGTTTGATAGCTATCGTATGAGGTCCGATCTCTTGAATCGGTTTAGAAATCAATTTCCACAAACGATACTATTGCAATCATAAACTAATTTCAATTATTTTATGATAATAGAACAGTCATATAAACGGAACTACAATTGCGAACATATAACGAATAAATGATTCATAACACATCGGAAAGTACTGTTTACTAACTAAACGAACATAAATATGCGTTCGTCGCGTACACATGTTTAAAATCAGATTTTATTTATAGCCTGTGGTATTCGAGTTATAAATATCAAGAAACCGTTCACTTTGCGTGATGGTTCAATTCTAATTATAGAAAATGCATTTTAATGGCGGCAATGAGGAGGGTTGTTTTGTTAATTCTAGAAACCATTTTCGTAGTTTTGTAATACCCACCCACCTTTGTTCGTACCTATTCGTTATTTGACCTATACTATATTCGAACTCAAGAAAAAATTTGTTTTGAAGACTTACATTATATATATTTTTTTTAAAAGACAATTCATACCAATTGACCTAGTCCCATGCTAAGCTGGTGAAGCTTGTGTTATGTGTACTAGACAACGGATATACATACATATTATAGATAGATAGACATATAAATACATACATAGTTAAACACCCAAGACCTAAGCACAACACCAAATACTCATCACATCGATGTTCGTCTCAGCCGGGGATCGAACCCGGGACCCATGGATTCGCAGTCAGGGGTACTAACCACTAGACCAATGAGTCGTCCAAAAAAAATAACAAACGTACACTTTAACTCGAACTACACTAATTCAGTCATATCTTAACGCTTTTAATTATTCAAGTAGATAACTGCATATTCTTATTTTAAAATTTCTATACAATGATAATTTATTATATGAATGCGGAAGCAGACGCATTCTAGATGGAAACTTGAATGCGTTTGAAACAGCTTCGAACTTCGAATTATTTCAATACTGTATACAATGCTCACAAACAAACATATGTAATAACAACCTCTACATAAACTGCAATTAATTCATCAAAAGTTAAACTATTTCGATCTAACAGCCACTTTCCAGCTTCAGAAAATGGGGTAAGACTTTTGACATCAAACATAATGGGAAAAAGCTGACAATAGCGCTTTGTGGACGACGTTTTAACTTCGCAAATTCAGGCATTTTTAATGGATCGTACTATCTTTAAACTGCTTTTGTTTATATATAATGACTAGCTCTATGAAAAATCAATAAGATTTCATGTGTTTGAAACCGGTGTATCTCGGGCGAGCAAGTATTATTTATCACAAATGATAATTATTATATCAGTAGCCGCCTTTATTTATATCTAAAACCCATAATCAATGAAGTGCCAGGTAAAGAGGGCTAAACACCTACCACTATAAAAGAAAAATTATCAAAGACACAAATACAATCATAGCTACTTTCACAGCGTTATGTCCTACGGTATTCTACTGCAGAGGTTCAATCCATATTTGTGCTGCAGAAGCGGGCTGTTCCGGGGATTTGTTGTGTTTCCCCAAGGTAGTCGGAATTAAATATTATGAAAATATAAAAAATGGTTCTTATATTCTTCAAGGCTTGTTGTATGTATTAAAAAAATATAAACGATTTTAAAACAAATGGGGACTTTCACCAGTATAATTATCGAAACATAACAAATCTAAGCGTAACAACCAGGCTCCAGAAGATAAACCACTCCTTATATGGAAATTGTATTCGTTTTTACAACAAACTCTTAAGCGAAATTAGAGAATTATCACTGAATAAATTAAAAACTCTCGTTAGACGAAAATTAACCAATTAAGCTTTTTCTAAATTTGACCATTATTTAAATGATCCTAATCCTTGACATTGATTTGCTCCAGTTCAAATATTTATGGCTTCTCTGCCTTACAAACAATTTGTATGACTCAAAACTTAGCGATTAAAAAGTGGCGGAGAGTTTCTTGCGAACTGGTAGTAAATGTAAATTTAGAATGAATTTAACATATTTTCTGTTGACGTTCATAAGTGTACTTGGTCACCTATATGAATAAAGTTATTTTGAGTTTGAATCATAGGCCATAGTTTTAACCTTACTCATAACATTTTCTGTTTGTCCAAAATAAAGATTGACTAACTGATAATTCATTTAAACGCCCTACTTCTAAGTAATTGGAATATTTACATTACACACCCATACCTGCCACATTTAAATTTTAAATATGTATTTTCTTTTGATAGAAAATAACATGTTATTGATCAAGATCAAGGTTGAGAGATTCCGTGGGTATGACATTATTCATGGGTTTGTTGAGTTAAAAATTAACGAATTTTGCTGTTGTGTCAAGGTCATGGGCATAAAGACAAAAACGTATGACTTGTGATTGTATACGCATTGTTGCAATTGTGCCTTGAAATTGAGAATCTATTGTTATTACGAAACACGACAATCGTTTCGTCAAACGTAAAGGAAAACAGTTTGAATCAGGCTGAGTTCAGCCATCACCCAGTCTAGCAAGGCTTCTCGCTCAAGTTTTCTTAGTTTTAGAGCCAAGTTTATCAGATGTATGCACCGGAGCGTATAGCTCAGGTTTTTTCTTCAGCGTTTAATTTATCATTTCATTAATAGAATAGTATAAATCTGTTGTACGTGAATAATTTATAGTGAAAAATATTCTCGATAGTTTAATCATCCCTTTGACTTGAGATCCGCACACCCCGGCTTATATTAGACCGTGATATGTCGCCTTTTATCGTCTCAATTTGTGTTTTTTTACACTGATGCACACACTAAAGGTCGCCAGAGACGGACCGCATGTTGCAGTCGAGACCGACTGCTCTAGAGCGGTCGTGTTGCAGTCGTGTACGACTTCACATGTACGGCTAAGACTGCTTGGAGCAGTTGTGTTCGACCGCAAAATAATACTGATGCGAGTTCATTTACAAGATGGAATTCGATGAAGAAACACTGCTACTTGTACTATTATTACGCAAGCGTAGGCGTAGAAGACAACGTAGTATGTGGGTGCGTCCAATACTACAATCAAGAGAACAGCATGGAATGTTTCATACTTTGTATCCCCAGCTGAGAGAAGACACTAAAATGTTTTTCAACTACATTAGAATGTCCGTGGTTTCATTTGATGAATTAGTTAGTATTTTATTTTATTTGAGTGAGAGGCGCGCAGTTGGCAGCAACCGCTTGTAGCGGTCCGTGTATGGTGGGTTCGGCAGCTCTAATCAGTACCGCACGGCGAAACATGTACCGCAGAGGGACTGCTCGAGCTCGACCCGCTCAGAAATTGGTCGTGCGGTCCGTGTATTGCGGATAATGAATCAGATGGAAACTGTAGTTCGCCGTGCGGCGACCGCTTTACGGCCTGGCCACGGGGATCGGCGGTGCGAACTGCGATGCGGGAGGCGAGGCGCGACCATTCGCGCGGGGCCCTTTTGCAGGCCACGGACCAGTCACGTTTGCCGCCGCGACCAGTAAGGAAGTTCGACAGCGAAATGTCTTTATCGAAATCATCTCGATATTGCTTGGAATGTAATAGCTTTTGGTGCAATACCTAATATTTGGAGAATTCCACAAGAAGTATGAGAAATTCAGAATATATCCAGAATTATTTTTTTGAGTATACCAGAATGAGTATTGAAACCTTCAATTATATTCTTATGAATATTCAACCAGAATTGGAGAAAAAAGTTAATGCAAATAGAATTTTAAGTTCCGCTGAAAAATTGTTTTTGAGATTAAGGTATATTAAATTAATGCTGTGGATGGCCAGACTTCCAAATAGCTGGTCTAGCCAGTATTTCAGTACAAAAAAAACTCTGTATTCATTTTTCGCCGCGACCACGACTAAACTTATTTATTCCCTTCTCTATTCGCCGCGACTGCCGCTCGACTCCGTGGCTTGCACCGTACTGATTCATGCATTTGTTTCGCTCGCCCGTCGCGACGTCAGTCGCCCGCGCGATTCGCTCGGTACATTTCGCCGGTCGCATCGCTGGTCGCCGTTGCGCGTGGCTTGATTAGTACATTGCTATGAGTTTATTTCAGTCGCTAGACGCATCGCGGTTCGCACCGCGCGAATATTCGCGTCGGCGAATGTCCCGTGGCCAGGCTGTTAGAGCAGTCGGTATCGACTGCAAAATGCGGTCCGTCTATGGCCAGCGTTAGAAGAATAACTAAGGGAGCAGATGCCACAATGAAAATAAATAAACTTAAGTGGATATGGGCGGGGCACATGGTACGAGGAACAGAAAAGTGGAGTATCAACGTATTTAACTATTTCGCAATAAACTCAAAGGAAAGGACAATTTAGAAGGTGGATAGACCAGATTAGGAAACAACAGATGGCAGAGAATGACTCGCCATTTCTGTCTCGGCGGCGAGATTTCGAGGCGGCCTTTGCCCAAAAAGGAAATGAATGAAATGATAAAAATATAAATGTAAATAAAGTATCTGTAATAAAAGTCTTTTATTATTATTATTTTTATTACAATAAACTTAACTAGAGAACATAAGGTTGACTTTGTCTGACCTCAGGTACACCTGCAGGACCAGGTGTCTTGGGTAAATTTTTTTTCCTACGCCAGAAAACTTTGTAAAACCAAATTTATTGAAATATTCAAAACTAATTTATAAAGTTTAATTGTTTTAAATAACTACAGGTTAATACATAATTAAATTATAAGACTGGTTATAGACAATATTTTTTATCAGAAATAAATTCCTTAAGAAATATAGCTTTATCGGATTTGTAGTCACAAGTGCCACAAATATTTGTCGAGTCATACATGATTCTTGTAACAGAACATGCAAAACCATTTCAATGACGTCAGTGACTGTTTAAACTTAATAAACAATACATTAACGACATACACGCGACTATATTAATCTATAAGGATGGCAGTGAATTTATTATCGGTGGGACAAAACTCAAAAACAAAAGTGGGGCAGCCCTATCTCTACATACCTTTTTACTAACCAATCCTAACACCTAAGACTGAATTGTTACTAACCCATTTACCAAAATATGGATCAAGGGTCTTAAATAATAATAATTATTATTACTATAACAGCAAATAGACATGCAGCAAACAATGAAATGATCTTAAAAGGGTAGAAAGATAATCGAAACGTAAAAAAAATATACTAACAAGAATTTTGGCCCGATTAAAAAATCCCTGGCAACCTCAAGCCAAATAAAAAATATATTTTTATAACGACATTAGCAACTCTCAATTTTTCCCTGGCTTTCCCGGCGGGGCCTAAAAGGTAGACTTTCAGTATATGTGCAGTTAAACACTCGCTCGTACGGTTAAAGACAACATCGTGAGGAAACCGGCATGACCTATGCGTATTTAGAAAAAATCCTATCTTCAAAACCGATACATGGGCAAAGATTGATCGGAGGGTTGTAGCGTCATTTATTTTTAATTTTTATAATTGTATGATTGTGATGTAATCAAAGAAAATCCTCAAAATGTCATCAAGAACCTAAAACAACAAATTCTTGGCAATTTATTTTTAACTTATTTGTTAGTTATATTCTCATGAGACAAGTAATAAACTATATATTAAAATTTATTTATTCAAAAAAATACAACAAATATAACATCAAAAGACACGACTAATAAAAAGATGAATGAGTGTTATTAAAACTCATATACCAAGCGAGGAAGAAACTTAAGTAGATTTAAAATTATACTATTAAGTAGAATGAATATTATTAACATGAGACAACTAAGGTTCAAGTATTTCCGCATGCAAGGAATTGGCTAAGATTCAGAAACAAGAGGCTACGTCTGACTTCAGTACGAGAAAATGTATTAGGCTTTTCTACGTTTTAATTTTCTATTTATTGTTATTATTACTATGTAGGTAACTTGTACTGTATAATTGATTGTTATGTTAAGGTTTCAATAAACGAATTATATAATATACATAGGCTTTTGACATAAGTAGTCTTGTTACTTGTTGTTGTACTCGTTTCTGAATCTCACTTTTGGGGTATTCTATCTCCCAATAGCTATTCCGACTTTTCTACTGAATTTCTATACAAGAACAAAAGTACATCGTCTTGTTCCTTTGGTTTTTTGAAGTAGCTAAGTCGTAATACCTATTGCAAGTCAATTAACATTTTATTCCAGGAAGTTTTAACGTGAAAAATGTATTAACTTACCAGCTGGTGAAAACGCTTATCAGCGGGGGTCGCCATAGTCTGTTAGTGTACAGTCAGCATGCATTAGTTAACTGTGCCACGCTGAAAGAAGAACGTGTCACCTTGTTAGTGCGGTGAACTTGGCTGATCAACTTTAATTTTAGTTGTAGTAAAAATGATGGTAAAACTTCATTGATTAATTTGGTACTTTATTGATAGTATTATGTTTGAATTAACCTTCAAAATTTAATTTCAAAAATCTAATAAGTCTATCTTCTATGTTCATAGGTTATAGACAATATTAGTATACTAAATTATCTCAAGAATAATTATTTCAATTTCAGTACAGTAGAACAATTGTAGGTCAGAATTAAAGCAATGGTTTCTTTAGATCAACCAAGTATTAGGTTATGAATACATGGTTCATGCAAGTGTTAAGAAACGTGGTCGAACAAAAGGATTAATTACATGCTTATTCGATTAATCCAAGGTTGATTATCTTTATCCAACTAACCAATTGTAATTGCTACGAGTTGTTTATTACACAGTAAATTATTTACAATTCTAGATTTCGACCGGTAGCAATTACGATTAGTTTTTAAGTAATAAAACAGGGTTTTAAATGTCTTTTATGTTTATGCTACATATGGTTAATAGAGAATTTATCTTAAATCTAGTTAGTATTTATTTATTTATTTATTATATTTATTGCCAACCGGCACACTGATACAGATAAAATACAATATTTATTGTGACAAGCACTTATAGGCAAACAACATACACGAAGAGTATGAGTATATATAATATGACAGTTCTCAAACTACCTTGCACTATATGTGAGAGAAACGTGAAATGGTAGCCACCTTCTAAGAACCATTTCCCCGAAATTGTATTACAGATAGGTTAACCAACATGTCTTGAAGGAAATAAATTTTAAAGGAACATAATTAACCGTTTCGTTTTGTTTTCTTTTAGCAAACGAAAAAGAGGAAGACAACTGAGAAGGTGGATAGACCAAATTCAAGAAACAGCAGGTGGCACATGGCAGGAGGCCTTTGCCAAAAAAGGGAACAGATACCTAAAAGAAGAATGAAATAGAAGCGTGTTTAAATGTAAACATATCTGAATTAAAAGGCTATTATTATTATTAATTAACCAGCTAACAAGATTTAATCATTTTCCGTTATATATCCAACGCTGGATATCTACGGCATCTCGACTAATAGGTTTAGCGAAGACCTTGTTTACCTGATATTTTTAAACGTCAGCGGAAAATCAATGCCAATGACAGTTACCTGTAACAAATGATGATATTATTAATATGATTTAATATATTAACCGACTGCAAAAAACCGCAGGAGATTATCAATTCGACATGTAAAGTTAAGTCAAAATAACTATATTCATATAGGTAAACAAGTACACTTATGAACGACAGAAAATAAGTTGAATTAATTAGGGCAAAAATAACTGGCAAGAAACTTTCCGCCACTCTCTTTAATTGTAATTTTGTATATTCAAGCAAATTAAGTGAGGGCCAGCGGTGAATCCCCAAAAAAAACAAAATATATTTAAATTACTACAATAATTGAACTTAACTAAATATGAGTGCATTATATATGCGCGACAAAAAATCTATATTATAGACTTATTACTAATTGAGAATTTGACCCGTCTGATGTGAGGTATGCGATCAAAGCTATTGGTATCTGTTGTCCGGTTTCATTCTAATGGTGTTGCGTCAGAGGGTATAGGTATTGTCTATGCGGGGCAAAGGGAGTGCAATGGATATGTAACAAGAATTACTACGCCTTGTTATTGTAATAACTCACAATAATAATATGGCGCTACAATCCTTTATGGGTCTTTCAGATTTCATTGGACTCTGGTGTTTTTGCCTAAACAGAAAAAAAAAATTTTTTTATCTGTTACCAACAGCTTAACGTAGATAATATAAACTTAGATTTATTTAATAATGTATCAAACGATAAATAACAATGTGTGTAGTTATATATATATACTTATTACGTTATAATTTATGCAAGTAAAAACACGTAATAAAAATTACTCAACTATAAAGGAGCTACTTTTACTTTTAAATAAATAGTTTTATAAATACGGCGCGTATTTTTTATCACTACCAGAGTAAATACTATAATCACCATTTGTATGACCGTTTTGTTAATACTTTGCTATATTTGTAATTGTGTCTTTATTGCATTGTGTTAAGGTGTTTTTAATAATGCCGTTTTATTACTCTTGCTTTGGACGTTATTGTTACCTCGTCTATACATCTGTTACTCAGTCGTTATTTGTTCAGATTATTTCTATGAAAGCCAAATTGATTACTTATAATTCATATGAGTCAGATTTCAATAGAAATGTATTGGATCTTGCCAGTCATAGTTCAAGTCTCGTTTTTGAATATCACCCTAACAGCCTGGCCACGGGACATTCACCGATGCGAATATTCGCGCGGTGCGAACGGCGATGCGTCTAGCGACTGAAATAAACTCATAGCAATGTAATAATCAAGCCACGCGCAACGGCGACCGGCGATGCGACCGGCGAAATGTACCGAGCGAATCGTGCGGGCGACTGGCGTCGCGACGGGCGAGCGAAACAAATGCATGAATCAGTACGGCGCAAGCCACGGAGTCGAGCGGCAGTCGCGGCGAATAGAGCAGGGAATAAATAAGTTTAGTCGTTTTCGCGGCGAAAAATGAATATAGAGTTTTTTATTACTGATATACCTACTGGCTTAACTAAAAAATTATATTTGCATTAACTTTTTTCTCCAATTCTGGTTAAATATACATAAAAATATAATCGAATGTTTCAATACTCATTCTGGTATACTCAAAAAAACTTTTCTGGATATATTCTGTATTTCTCGTACTTTTTGTGGAATTCTCCATCTATACCTCGATTCTTATTCAAATCATGTACTCCACAATCTTTTCCAAATATAAGGTCTTGAACCAAAAGCTATTACTTTCCAAGCAATATCGAGATGATTTCGATAAAGACATTTCGCTGTCGAACTTCCTTACTGGTCGCGGCGGCGAACGTGACTGGTGCGTGGCCTGCAAACGGCACCGCGTGAATGGTCGCCTCGCCTCCCGCATCGCCGTTCGCACCGCCGATCCCCGTGGCCAGGCCGTAAGTGACCACAACTTTTTTTATATACGAACACAAATACCTTATTAAAAATAGTATCACATTCTAAGTTCAAACAAAGATCTAAATGAAAGATCTAAATGAAGAAACTTAAAGGGAGAAGTCCCTTTAAGTTTCTTTCTATATCACATATTTTATGAAAAAGATAATTATTCCTCAAACAGCTGACAAATGCCCCCCCCCCCCCCCAACCTATAACTCTATTCGCGTGAGCATTTGACGAAAATAAATCTTTACTTTAATAAGTTTTAGTATTTTCTTTTCTTATCAAGAACTTCATAATATTTACGCGAGTACTATTTTTTATTTAAAGCGCAAATTCACCCGCAGTAACGCAATTGCCAATTCGGCGTGAAGACAATGATTTCCCAAGTAGGTTATTGTTCTTTGTGTTATGAATACAAGATTTAAGGCACAATAAACTTTTTGGGGTCGTGTGTTTTTGTAATTTCTTCGTTTCCCTGTATCAGCTGGACTTATGAGTCGGACTTGAGACAAATTCCCTTTGCAACAGGCGTAAACCCGTGGGTCACAATAAACATTATGGGATATCAATGTTATGATTATAATACCTTATTCTCTACCTCTTATAATAAACGGCTCAAATGTAAGAGTCTTTCCTCAAACTTCGATTTTGTTCCCTTTGGAGTGGAGACTCTTGGGCCGTGGGGTTCAAATAAACAGGCACTAATTAAAGATTTAAGTTGACGCCTGGTAGATAGTACCAGTGACCCTGGAGCTAGTGCTTTCGTCGCTCAACGAATAAGTATCGCAATACAGCGAGGAAATGCTGCCAGCGTTAGAGGAACACTGCCACGGAGACTTTTCAATTAATTTTTATAATTACTATGTAGATTAAGAAAATTGTAAATTCTGTAGGTATATTTGATTGTTATTACTAATAATAATAATATGTTACTTTAACTAAATCAAGTTGGAAAGCCAACCCTTGGCATAGACAAACGAATACTTAAAGTATAGAAAAACTAGGTTATGGAAAATTTTTACAGCGCACCGTGGACGTACTCGGAACAAAACGGAACACGAATATATAGTCCAATATATGTAGGATAAACATACGTTCATATCTATAAATAATTAGGTTCATTTTAAAAACTTAAAAATATTTTGTTCAGAATTCTGGTGTTCATCCTGTTTTTCGCTAGCAAATACAAAGATTTTTTTACGACAGTAATGCGTTATAACTGTTAAATATTGCGTTTTTAAGTCTTCTTCACAGTCTACCTATTTTTTAATAAAAAATATTTGTTTATAAACAACTAAAACAGGCTTGAAGAGCAACATATATTTTATGATACTTTAAAAGCCATTTGATTTACGAGCTAAAGTCGCCATGCGCCATAAATTCATGGAGTATTATTTTACTTGACCACATTACGGTAAATCGTGACATGGCGGTTGGTTCCACGCACTGATTCTTTACGGTCTGTTATCGCTTAGCCGACAGCCGTGTGTGAACATGTGAAACATCTGCTAATTATGCGGAACGATAACACTGCAATGTGATAACTACCTTACACAACGACATTACGAAAGCACCTCTAAGAAACAGGTGGAAATAAGAAATGCATTATTGCATTTTATAAATTCATTAGCCCATTTACACTCTGGCCACAAGGTGATGGCACGCTGTCCCCAAACCATAGACTACTCTGACATTAAACCTATGTATGAATTGTTTCTAATTCATTTACGACAACGACCAAGCGACTAAATTATGATATTTTATAGTGACTATAATCAAGGTACCACTTTTATTTATTTCATGTTTTCAAAACTCCAAAAAAGAGGTTATTTTAACTTGTATAATATATAGCTGTTATTGGAATTAGATAATTATTTGTATCTAATCTTTC